AAAAAAAAAAAAAAAAAAAAAAAAACCCTTCAAGAATTTATGAAATTGATGGAGGTAAATTTGAAATTATAATTACTCGTTAATATTGTAATTTTTGTATTTTCTTAAATTTCTGACTTGAAAGTATGCGTTGAATCGTGAGGTATGAAAGTTAATAATTACGAGTTGAGTGAGATATTTTTCGCTTTATCTTTTCTGCATAAAAAGGTACAATATGGACAAGGGGTTAGTTCCATGCATGTAATAACAGAATCTAAAGGCCCCATAAGTAAAAAATAACGCGTGAAATTTCGCTACTAACTTAAATATAAAGAGAAGATGATATAATTATATTTTAATCATATGTGCTTAGTCTTTAAAAGCAATTATTTCAACATCAAGTTGTCTTTCTTGACTGTTTTTTGGTCGTGAAAAGCTAGTACTACCTAATGCGACGTATCATAGTGATAAATGTCTAAATTAGATAATTTTTTCCATTCTTTTTCTATGAACTTTTCTTATTTGCTGAACAACTGTGAAACAAAAAGGTTCCAGTCCATAACGTCTATAAAGACTTTTGAGGTAGACTTGCTATATTATTGGAGACTTTATCAAAGGAAAAAATTCAGAGAAAATTTAAATGATATTCGCCGAATTTTCAATTTTGTGTCCATAGAAATTAGTTACTATCAAGTAGAATCATAGATTATAGGCCCTTAATACAATCTACAACACCAATTTTAGCATAACTAAAGAGGATAAAAAAATTACAATATTGTCAATTATACTGTTCTATTAAAAAACGCGTAAAAAGTTTTGTTAAAGATGTGAGATTCACTTTTGTTACCTGGGGTTCTCCAACCCAACGGATTGGCTGGGAAGAAAGGTCAACCTCTTGTTCATGAGCGCTTTTGTGCCACCAATCACTTAGTAATAAATTGAACTCTCCATCATACTGAAATGGCTCCTTCTCCCCCTCTGCTACTTCTACTATCAGAGAACCATATAATCCTGCTGATCTTTGCATCCCATAGTGCCCATGATAAAAGTATGTGCCCGCCTACGCCATAACGTAATTAAAATCTTGTTCATTATCGTGTCGTGCCCTTAATGTAATGTGTTGTTAAAAAAAATATATTGGATTTACCTTGTCAGCCTTAAACCTGTAGACAAATGTTTCTCCAGGATTGATGGCACACTGTGAGATGGATGCAGTGCCATCTGCCCATGGTGTTCCAAACTAAAAACCAGAAGGTAACAAAATAAGAAAACGTATCAGAGAATTAACCAAACCGATTCTAAATGGTGAGTTGTGACGTTGTTTCTATAACATGAACCCTTCATGCAATGGATGTGCAGGTATATTTATGGAACAAATTCACTTAATAATTTACCTGTCTGATTCCATGCCAGTGAATGACAACTCCTTCAGTGTGAAGCTTGTTGGTGAGTTCAACATGTATCGTGTCACCGGCCCGAGCTCTAATAGTCGGGCCTGGAAATTGGCCATTGATGCCCATAACAATATGCTCCACGCCATCTGGAGACCAGTGCATATACTCCACGTCCCATTTAAAATGCCTGCTCTTAACCCCCACAGCTGACTGAATAAAACTTGACAAAACACAACAATAGAGAAAAATCAAATTAGCCCTTCTTAAGCATGGATCATTCAAGAACCCCATGCTTAATTGCTAGTTTTAGGGTTACAAATATTTTAAAGAAATGAAGTCTTCCCCCGCGGTTAAACTTTGGAAGAAACGAATGTACCCAAATGGCCAAATCAACGGTTTCAAATGTCAATGCAAGTCGACGATTTTTGCTTACAGTCTGTAACGGTCGCTCCCAATAGAGGAGTGGTGTGTGTGTATATATATATATCAGTCACTTATAATGCATGGGGACATGATCAATATTTTGTGAACATTGGCATGATCTTTCCGCGTCAAACTGCAAAAATTTAAAATGAATGATTGGATGTGATATTCTTTTTCTGCCCATTTCTTGAATTAAAGATTAGAAAAGTATGCATAAAAAGTAAAAGTAATCCCCACACGGCTTTGTTACTTTTTTGCATGGTCACTTTTTGACGAAGAGAAAGTTTTCCACGTTCAAATCAATGGTTTCAGACAATACTATATTCCTATACAGCCACTTAATTAAAATTACTTATTTTAGCTACATGACCATATTTTTCATACTTTATTGCTAAAATTAAAATTTGCTTTTTCCGAGATAGAAAATTAAAATTAAAATTACTTATTGCTACATGACCAAAGATTATATTCCTATACAGCAACTTAATTAAAATTAAAAGTACCTCTTATTTGCTTTTTCAAATTATATCAAGCGAGTTCTTGATACTTCTAATTAAATTCAATCAATAAGACTAAGTCTCTTAGTAAGTTAGAATCAAGTTTCACTAAATTTGGATTTATTGTTTGTCGAATCACACTTTTATCACTAAACTATACTCGCTACAATGCAATTATTGTATACAAATGGATCTTTTGTCGAAGAGGATAATTAGCAAGATCAAACCTCTTAGCTGTCTCTGCACCCCTACATCCTTTATCACTGTGCGATCATTTAGGGGCCTTAGCTGATGATCTGGGTCGTTTCCCTCTTAACGATGAAGTTTATCCCCCCATCGTCTCACTGTAAGCACATTTCCATCAATTATTTTAAACACAAGTTTGATTTGAATACTGGCAAAATACGAAATTATAAGTGTTTGTTGATATTTCACCAAAGTTATTCCTTTTAGATTGTAACCTGTTGAGCTGATTTTTTTGTATTTGAGCAGTATTTTTTATTGACCAATAAATTGGAATGTTCCTGGAATTCTGCGGATCGATGGACTTTTGCTCCTGGAATTGCATTGCAATCCTATATGTTTCAAGGAAATACTCGTAGAAGTTTGTGGAATATTTGCTTTGAAATACAATTTCAATTTTTTTTTTTTTTCCTTCTAACATACATGAAGGCATAAGGCTTTGATGAAGTAATCACTCTCTCTATTTTCAAGTTGTAAATTAAAAAAATGATAAGAAAACACTTAGGTCGTTTTATGTTTTTGCATTGAAATTGAGTCTAAGTTTTGTTTAATCCACAATCCTAATATGTTTATAATTGAAATTCAGCAAAATTGCAATTCTTCATATATTTCTTTTTCATTATATTTTGTTTTCGATCAAAATGCTTAGGAGTTTAGTACAGTTAATTAGTGTAGAATTAAAATTTAATACAAAATGCTGGAGTAATGACAATTAATGTCTCCCCACCCTACCACTTATTGTACTTGTTGGAGTTGGGGCCAGTCCATTTGCCTGTGCCTCAGGCCCAAAATCAGAAAGGGCCTATTTTGGCTCAAAGTTTTATTTATTTATTTATTTATTTTTATAGAAGGAAAAGAAAAATAGTTTTTTCATTAATTGTGAGATGATTGAGATATTTGTTTTTTATTTTAATCTTAAGTTTTAAATTAACAATATGTTGCATAATATATCGTTGAATTTTACATTTACGTTGATTTTGGGAGCCTAATTTTTGAATTTCGTCTCGAACCCCAACAATTACAGGACCGGCCCTGATTGAAGTTCCCTAACAAAATTTCTTGAGGCACAGAGATGTCGAATAGGCTATGCACATAACTCTACACAAAGCAATCTCCTTTATTTATAGTTCTCATGTCTGAAAACTCTTTTTTTTTTTTTAATTTATTTTCAATCACACTTTTCATTAAACTCACAAGTTTTATCAATTTTTCAACCATATATTTTTCAACTTTTATCAAAACTTACTCTCTCTCTCTCTCTCTCTCTCTCTCTCTCTCTCTCTCTATATATATATATATATATATATATATAATCAAAATTAAACAGGGGCTAATTTGAACTCAAAATTTCATTTTACATCTTTATATTTATCCTTCTCCGAGAGATTGGCTTCATGCCTATTCTATTCACAAAAAGTTGCGATACATTAAATATTTGCAAAAAAATAAATAAAATAAATAAAAAATGAAAATCGTTAAAATATTCAAGTGCCTATTTTGAATGTTATTCCTGTCATTGTCAAGAATGGACTGAGTGCCTGTACCAATTGGGCTTCGGCTAGCAATTAACAGCATACTTATATTTCCAAAAATAATTTAGCCCTTTGGTTTAGCTAAAAAAGTTAATAAACTTTTAAATTAATTTTCACATGCACTTTACGAAATTCACAACTTTTATCAACTTTTCAATCACAAATTTCATCAACTTTTATTTTAATCTACTAAAAATCTGATTTTTAGCTAAACCAAACATGTACTTATTAAAGTTTGGGGTCCATCTCAATAAGGTCAACTTTATTAAGAGGAGTGTCCCAATCCTTTATATATTAGTCATTATTTCGGTATTTTACCGATGTGGGATTATATTCCCTTAACAAGCCCCCGCAAGATGGTGGCTCGTTTGAGCAGACCAATCTTGAAATCCGTGTGCTCATTTTTAGAGATTTAATCGGATCGAATCGCTCGTTGGAGCTTAATGGGCTCTGATACCATATTAAAGTTTGGGGTCCATCTCAATAAGGTCAACCTTATTAAGAGGAGTGTCCCAATCCTTTATATATTGGTCATTATTTCGATATTTTACCGATGTGGGATTATATTCCCTTAACAGTACTTACTATATAATTATAAGTATCCAACGCATACGAATTCCTAGTTTCAATGTTCATTCTCCTCCACGTAACAAAATTTGCTCGAAATAGTCAACAATATATCGATATTTGCGTACGGCAGTCACATCCAACTCTTCTTCACATAGTTGCACACTGTCATAGTAGACAAGCAACACATATCACAGTCCTTTATATTGATTATGTCACGGGTTGATCTGCACAAAATGTTAAGCTAAGCGTCTAATCCGCGTACATGTTAGGTATGTTTTGTTTGACCGCATCTTGTACCATTTTGTGAGGGGTCGACCTCTCAAACACCGGTTCCGATGTTAGATCGGGGTGAACTTCTGGGGCCATATTTTAATGTTTGAAGTTGTTCCAACTTTTCCAGAACCTCAGTCATGGCTGGCCTATTTTTAGGGTCCGTGGATAGACACCGTAATGCAATAGCCGCTATAGCTTGCGCCTCCTTTTTGGAGTACTGACCTCCTAATCTCGAGTCCATGATTCTCAAGACTTTCCTGCTGTCGGTTAGGAACGGTTTTGCCCAGTCTACCAAGGTTTCATCAGCACCTCCAGCATTCTCATCGCCTGCTGCTCGTTTACCAGACAATAGCTCTAATAAAACGACTCCAAAGGTGTACACATCGTTCTTTGGAGTCAAGTGGCCTGTTTGATCGTTTTTGTTATGCAAAAATATGAGACTAAGCAGTGTGTGGAAAGTTTAAAAAGTACTCTAAAATGAGGAATTAAGTAAAAAAGTAACCTGTTGCAACATATTCTGGTGCAGCATAACCTCTTGTACCTACAACTCTGGTTGATACATGAGTTCTATCTCCACTAGGACCCTCCCTTGCAAGGCCAAAGTCTGAAAGTTTTGCATTGAAGTCCTGCAAAAGTAAGATCCTGAAAATGATATATAACACCAAACTTCAATTTTAACCACAAAGTTCATTGAATCTACAACATTTATCAATTTTTGAACTACGCATTTCATCAACTTTTGACAAAAGCTTTGTCATACAACACGTTGAAAGTTTTATCATACCGAATCAAGTAATATATTGGATGCCTTCAAGTCGCGATAGATTACATTGGCGTCTAAACTATGCAAGAAGGATAATCCTCTTGCAACATCAATTGCAATACGCATCCTTGTCGGCCATCCCATAAGTTGCCCTCCTTCTGCACAGAAAGTAGTATCCATTACTCACAAAATTTTCTCCTGATTTTGATATTAATTCATCTCCTTAAAAGTTTGTATGATTGGGACTACGTAGCAACATATGCGTGTTCATGGAAATCAAAAGTGTAGGTTATGGCCAAGTACATGAATCCAAACACATCAATCAAATGATATTTCTGTTCCAATTTTTGCCGCATTAGCCAATCCCATTGGAGCTGTGAAACTTCATAGGGTATAAATTGATAACAAAAATAATAAACAATGGGTAGTTATATAAATTAAAGGATTAAACTGATTTACCAGGACACTGCATAAAAAATTATCCAAAAAAATACCCACACACCCCCTCTTGTGAATAGTCGGTAGGGGTTCCAAGGCACCCAGCAAAACTCTAAATGAAAAAGCAATCCATAGAAGAAAAGTCACTTACTTCTAAACAGATGATTTTCCAAGCTTCCTTTTGTCATGAACTCGTAGACTAAAAGCCGACTTTCAGATTCTGAGCAGTACCCAATTAACTTCACAAGATTTTCATGACGCAGAAGTCCTAAGCAGTTCACTTCAGTCTGTCGATAACCGATGAAACAAAGTCAAGTCGATACTAGGCAACTATTAAGAGTTACTTATTTTGTTGTACAGGATATTCTTGTTTAATTTTTTTACAAACAAAACTTGTTTCCTGGAATGTGAGTGTTAACTTGTTTTTGACTTTCAAGCAAAGCAAAAAATGCTCTCAACATAGACAACTAGAAAGCTAATGATTTGCTTACTAGCCATTCCCGGTGACCTTGAGAACTTTCAGCCTTAAGTTTTTTGACAGCCACTATCATCCCGGTTCCTGGTCTGGTCGGAGCCAATGTGTGCTCGTCTAACCATCCTTTAAAGACGTATCCAAAACCTCCCTCCCCGAGAAGACTCTCACTTCGAAAGTTCCTTGTGGCATTCTTGAGATCGTTGAACATAAAGGATTTGATGTTGCTGGAGACACCTTTTGATGTTATAAGAGCTTTGCACAAGGGCCCTGAAAATGTTGGCTGGCTTATAGGATTTGAAAACTGATTTGTATTAGAAGGTGCAGCTTTACCATCTGGGGAAAAAAAGGTCAAGTGAATACAAGATTTTCATTTGAAATTCACAAATCAAAAGTTGAATAGCATTTACTACATAATACTAGATAGGATTTGATAATATCACATATGAACCATGTGTTATAACCGTCTAGTAGTGTCCAATCCAACTTGCCAAACATTCTTCCAGTAGCTGATTTGTGCTAGAAACTCTTTTACAAATTAGCATTTGTTTCCAATTATTAGGGAGTCGAATTTTCGGAAACGAAGAAATTTAACAGAAGTTTTAAATTCTCCTTGTAGCAATTTATCTCATGAAACATTATAATTAACAAAGTTTTCTTTCTTCCAAAACATCTGTAACAGACAAAATGCACAAATGCACACTTATCCCAAGAAAGCATCAAAACTCTGTCCTATGAATCCAGATAGACATATGAATTGCAATACTTAAATATTACATTAAATATAAGATGAATCAAAGGTTATGCTAAAGCATTCCCACCTCAATCTTGACATTTTTTAACATTCTGAGGAATCATTACTTAAAGTACTGACTTTATTAGTACAAACACTACAATAAGATCAAGCTAAGCCTTGTCCCAATAAATTCTGGGCCAACTACATAAATAAGAGAATAATTTATCAAAAAAAAAAAGAAACTTTGTCTAGGAATCATACCAGAGAATTGGTCAGAAGAAATATGAGCAAGCTTAGAAGATTTTCCCAAACAAATCCCCATATTAAAAGGACCTCTCCTTTAAATGTTTGTATAAGTAAATAGTGGGCTGTAAAGAGTAAGAAGATACAAGTATAAGAATGCAAATCCACCAAGTAAATAGCATTGGATGGTTTAATGAGTGAACAAAAATGATGCAATCATCCATTTTAGGGTCTCAGTCAAGGCTTAAGAAAATCTTCATTGAAAATAATTGTTTTGACATTTTTATGGTCCCAGTGTCATTAATAATATGAACAAGAAGAATTTAATATTATGAATTGCCATGCTTTGACTGCAATTTGCTTGAAGAAATCCATTTTTTCAAAAAGGCTGACCAGTCTAAGTACAATGAGACAGACAGACTTCACCAGGTGTCCTCAAACTTTGTAAGTATTTCATTCTTGTCTTCAACATTTCAAAACTGTGGCACCCATGTTTGCAGCTAACGGAAAACTCACGTAATGTCGAACTCAAAGGATAAAATTGTCAAAAACTATTTCTTTATTCCAGAAAAATTCGAAAGAGAATTTTAATATTCATTAAGAATTTAAATAGGTAAAAATTCCCGGGCGCTTATGAAATGTTTGCTTCAACGCATTCCCACCACATGAGTGTTTCATGGTCACTTACAGTTCAAGTAAATATTTTCTTTGAAACGTTAGGTATATGAGTACAAGAAGTAGTAAGTTGAGGATACGAGTGCTATAGCTATTTAAGGTTGGAAATCCCTGGTACAATTTACCCTATAATATATAATTTTGTTTGTTCCAGGTTGTTCAGATGATTTTAGTTGGTAATAAAGAATAGATGTCATGAATATATAAAAAGTTACCGTTATTTTCATCCACGTTTTTTATAAGTATGTCTCACTCTAAGTTCATCTTTAATAAAATTTTAAAATTTTATTAAATATATTATTTACATCCACGTCATTTTCAATCTTGCTCTTATTATATCCATTCATTTAAATACTATATATCCACGTAAATTTTATATATTCATCCTATTTTAAATACATCCCTAACACAATAGATTCACACAATCCCAAAAATCATAAACTCTTTTAAACCAAATGAATGAAATAATAACAAAGTTGAACTTATTGAACATTAAATAAACATATATTATTCAACTAATCATGTTAATAGTGTTTATTAGAAATTTTATCATTTTTATTCATAAAACCCAATTCATCAAAGGCAAACCTTCATATATCAACATCCAAATTAGGAGGAGGTTGTCTCTAGAGAAAGTATACCGAGTAACATTTGGAACTCATTGTGTTTGGACCATAGTTACTAAAATCAGCCCGATAAACCAGTGACCCGGGCCTTTGATCGGGCCGAGCCAACAAGCAATTTTTGAATCATTTTTGGGCCGATTCAACCCGGTTGATTTTTAAACCAAATTTCAGTACTCTTTTACATTGAAATTGTAGGTATCAAAGATTTGAACCCTTAACCTCTAAGTAAAATCTAACTTTATCACTAGTACAAGCAACACTGTATCGTCTTTTATTTTATAAATTATATCTAATCTATGAATAATTAGGTACTTCTAGAAACTTTTTTTGGAGAAATTAGTCCAATATTGTCATTCACTTGTAATTTCGATTAATTATTTTATATACTTATTTTGTTTGAAAAAAAATTAATTTTAACTAAGATAAATTGAATAGATAATACACAAAATTTTTGTCAATAACTAATAAATAGTCCTTGTTTTAGCCCCATTCTTTTCAAAATAATACATTCTTAAACAGTATTTTGACATTATTTCAATCACAAATTTTTAATAAAATAATATTACACACAAATTCAAAATTTTTCCTTATTTTAATCACACATTTCGCATCAATACACTATTCAAAAATTCATATTTTTCTCCAAAATAGGGCTCAAACAAGGGCATAATTTGTAAATCAAAATTTAACCATTATCACTGATAAATGAGTCCAAAAAATCATTAATTTAAATGTATAGAAAAATTAGTGAAAAAGAACTTGAAAACTTTAATTTTGTCTCAAACAAAAAAATAAAAATAAAAATTATACTTTAAAAATTAGTATTATTTTTAAGTAATTACCCACCGGTCCAACCAGTAACCCGGTACCTTGACCGGGTCGATGTCCGATTCGGGTCTGATAACTATGATTTGGACTATGATTGGTTTGCTTCAATCATCTCTTCGTGGTATGTTTAAATGCAAAATTGCAAGTAAAAAAACTTCACATATATGTTTCGATAAAAATGTTTAACATGGTCGAATTTCTTAATTTTTTTTAATTAGACAAAAATGCTTCACATTAATAGCAAGTGGAAAACATCACATAATAGATATAATGTGTAAATAATATATTAATGTGAATCAAAATTAGACCCCAAATCTTTGCAGATAAACATAATATGATTAGGTAATTAAATAGTAGCGAACAAATCAAGTGATTATTCAAACAATAGTGGTAGTATTATCAGATAAAAAATAATAATAGAGGTAGCAGTGTTATCATTAATTGTTCTTATAGTTTATTCACATCAATTATTTCTAATATAGGTGTAGCCTTCTTCTGTTAGGGACCTAAAAAAATTGAGTTCTAGCATGATAAGGTGTAGCCCAGCCTTCAGCACATGGATGATGGTACTTGTACCAATTACAAGTAATAGGTGGCATTGGTCTTCTAGTGTGTCCATTTACCTGTACACAATCACATAGAAAAACATAAGTATAAATATCATTTAGTTAATTAAAAATTTAATTAATTTAATAGATATTTACCAAGACAAAATGACAGTCATTGACAAATCCAGTTGCAACAATCTTATGAGATGTGATTGCAAGTAGTTCATTCCAAAGTGGAAGAAATGTAAGACATTGTTGTTGGCTCAAGTGAATAAGAATAACTTTATATCTTGAAGCAATAACATGACCCATATCCGGCATGGTCATCCAATACTCACGACTCGTTGAACCATCAAAATGAGAAAGTGAATGAATCAACTCATGTACCATATCATCATTTTCATAGAGTCTAGAGTAATCATCAAAATGAGATTCAAGCTCCTTTATTAGATCTTTCCTACCCGAAGACCAATTATCTTGTGTAATCATTTTGTTTCAATGTGTACAAGATTTCCTTTGGTCTTACATGATTCTTTGACGTGTCTACTAAAATTGAAGTCTCTTTCTTAGTTAATCTCCCAGTATATGAATGTCCTTCAAGGTTCTAGGCAATGTCATGATTATGTCTCCTACATTTCACTTTCAGTATCCAATAATCATCATTTATCAATTTTCTTCCATTCAAAGCGAATGGACATCCGCACTTTTTTGTTCTAGTAGCTTTACGTCTCTTTCCTTTTTCATTTTCTTTGTTAGTATTCCTACATCTATACGAACCATATATTTCACATGCAAAATCAATTCTTGGTTTTCTCCCAGCTTGGCCGAAGTCCAACTTTTTTATAACAACAATCATGTTACGTCTCTTACCAGTAGTTTTAATCCAATCAATCAAGGTTTCTTTACTTGTAAATATCTATTTATCATCAAATATTCATATATAAATATATAATCATATTGAAAAAATAAAATCATTACGTACCATGTTTGTTATAAACATATCTGTATAGTCAACAAATAACTCATTCCGAACATCATAGTTATGGGTTGATATATCCTACATTAAAAGTATAGTTTCAAACAATGTCATTGAAATAAAATTAATAATAAATAAGATAACAATCAAAACATCGGGTAAGTATGCGAAATGGTAGACTAATTGGAACTTTTCTAAATACTTGTGAAACAAACCCACTACAATAGAAGGCCATCATTCAAGATTTACCAATATTTTACCAAAACATCCATTTTGAGGGCGTAATTGATTAGTAAAGGCCTTTCAAATTTATAATATGGTCCTAACCCACATGGAAATAGTCGCATTCTTAAGACATGTTGAATATTTGCTATGGTCCCTAAAACCAAGATGGACAAAATTCACATACAAGCATAGAAGTCTATGAAATTACATAACCAGGTTGAAGATAACATTCAAAGAATAAACAGTTAGCCCCAAATAAAATAAAAATTCAAAGATAGAATAGCCCTACACAACTCACAGTACAAAAACACTCTCAGAAATAAAATTCATGATTTATGTGAAGTTAATACCTAACAACAACCCATGGGATAAAATAAGCATAAAGATTGTGGGACAGACATGCCTTGCACATTCAACAAACACAATTCAACTTGGACTTGGTTCTCCTATAGAATAATATGCCGTAGTAGCACTATAAATTCAATATAAAACAAATGAAAGTGTGGGCAGAGAACTCGCTAAGCAGAGACAAAAAATTATGTGCTAAGAGATTTTTTCTGAAAATAAGAGATTGGATTTAAGAAATGGGAAGTTGGCATGCACGTGAATTTGGGGGCACCCATCACCTATAATTATACTCATGTAATTTTTTCTAATCTTTTAGGATTCTAGTTGAACACAAATTCTAAAAGAATAAAAAAAGATTTAGGATAAGTTAATGAAAATAAAAATTTGTGGATCAATTTAAAGTTATGTATTTTTATTTAATTCTGTTTATGTTTATTTAAGTAAATTTACATAGGATTTAAAATATAATAAAAATTTATTTTTAAAAGTGGATGTACTTATAAAAAGTGTAGATGGAAATAGCGTTATCCTATATATTAAGTAGTTTTTTTTATTTCTCAACAAATAAATAAATATTTATTTAAAATGAAATTAAAAAAAAAAAACACTAAAATCGATAATGTCCTCCTTTTGTTGCGAAACCTGAAAATTAAGTACGAGATTTCCGAGTAAATTTTGTCCAACCCTTCTTATTAATATTAGTTTTAAGTCTCAAAGAACAAATACTTTATCATTATATAATATAAATTTATTTTATTTTATTTGCAAATTCTTAACAATTGAATATCAAATGTACAACTTTTACATGCACCCAAATGATTCAATTATTTTTTTTTTAATTGAAGAATACGGTCATTTTTTCACAAGGCATCAAACTATAATAAACGATGGCACATAGCACACAATCATGAAGAAGGTAACCCTCGTTTAGCCAACTCAAAATGAAAAATTAGCCTTCATCATGACCACAAGAATGTGGGCAAATGGTCGAGAGTTAAAACAAGCTTGTTATATGTATATTCACTTTTACATTAACTTTGACATCTTTTTATGTGGCAGTCATCATAACCTTTGATTTTTCCAACACCCTTTCGCATCACTGACCAGATTTTGACACATATGAAGAATGTCATCCATAATGTAAATTAAAACATACATCTAGAATAATTCAAATTAAAAAGATTAAATTGAAAATTGAATCGATCATAAAATTTAGCCTTAATCATTTTCTCTTTCCAGCCTTATCTCATCACATCCCATCACATACAACCCTGTCCCTATCCCACGCTTATCCCAGTTGAACCCGTTCCATTGAAGAAAAATCCAACGTCCTCTCTTATTTCCTAGAAAACTTAGGCTCCTTTCCAGGCAGTCGCAACTGCATTTTATTGACTTGGCATTTGGTTGTTGATAAAACTCAGATCTAAAAAAGACCAAATGTCGAGTCATGGTAGGACAAAATTTTCGAACAGAACCGAACCGAACCAAATGATTCTTCTTAAGTTAAAATCGATGGATTTGGTTAGATTTTCAATTCTAGACAAAAAATCGAATAAAAATCGAATTTTCTTAATTTCTTAACTTAAATAAGTTAAATTATTTCTTCTAAATAAATTTGCTAACTAATTAATTTAACTCAAACCCAAAATATAATTTTTCTATTTTTAATTATCAGTCCAAGCCCAACTTAATCAAATTGACCTAAGTTTCATCCAAATCTCTTATTCTATAGTAGTATCGTTTCTACCACTATAAAGAAATCAAATTGGAAGCTCGACCACACCTCTCTTCATTTTTGTGAGCTCCCTATCTTCTTCATGTGGTTTTAACAGTCAAATCTATGAAGAACTCAACAAATAAAAGTGCAAAAGATATTATAGGATTGGACTACTTTATTTTGTATGAGCTAAAATTGAATATGTAATTAGTTAAATTAATGTAGCGATGTTGTAAGTATTAAAAAAAATTAATTATTGTACGAAACCCGGGAATCGAATGGAATAGAATCCGAACGGTTCCATAATTAAATTTGGACCCGACAATTCCATTTACTAAATACCCGAAAATTCAGATTCGGTTCGATTTTAAAGAGAATTGAACAAAACCGAACCATAAAATGTCCATCCCTATGTCGAGTGGTGATGGTGAAGAAGAAGATGAAAAAGTGGGTGGTATTAGAATTTAACTCTAAAACAGGCTTTCGAATCAAATTCCAATTGATCTTTGGTTTTGACATCATAATAAAGAAAGGCGGAGGAGTTTCAGAAGATTCTAAAAGGAAGAAAAGAAATTTAATGGCCAGGATTCGATCAACTACAAAAAGAAGATGCTAAAGAAAACTATATAGCAATGAATAATATTATTCATGATGAGTGATTATCATAATCATTATATGAGACATATATTTAATCATTTAATTTTTAATTAATAATGCTCAATATGAATAATTAAGTAATTAAATACATATAAAATAAAATGACTATGATAATCGCTCACTGTAATAACATTACTCTTCAGCAACTGGGAGCAGCAGCCTTGTCTCGAAGTGGGTGGCGAAGAAGGAAAGTAGATGGGATACTTTATATTAGAAGAGCATTCCGCCATTATTTCAAATGCAATTAAAAGAGGCCATTTTTCGAAATGCATCTTTAAAAATGGATATTTTGTCCAAATTCCTTCTTAAACAATCATGATCTTTAATTTAATTTCTTTAATGATTTGTTAGATGTAATTGATGTAAGAATTGAATTAATGCTTGTTCGGAAAAGTTTAAAAAATCGTTAAAAAGTTGAGGTTAAATTTAATAATTAATTTTAACCACACATTTTATAAAACTTACAATTTTTATCAAATTTTTAATTATACATTTTATTAATTTTTATCAAAAACTTTGTCAAACAATTGCTTAACCATGTTTAGTCAAGTCAGAATCCCTGTTGGAATGATGGAAAATTGAATGACATATCAGCATCTTCTAAAAAAAAAAATTAAAAAAAAAATAATAATATTTTATAATTTTCTATTTATTAATCTTCAATTGAAGCAGCGGTGCCTTGTGTTGCTTGGAAAAAAAGAAACTCCTGTCAATATCCAAACGATATAAAATAATACTATTTACATATATACTATTTTTCTTGAAATTTGTCAAATGAAACTCCAAAAATATTGATTAGCATAACCAATAACCACTTTCTATTAGAGATATAGGTTGAACCCCAACATTGAGGGCTCCCATCGCCCCGCCATGCCCCGCTCGGTCCCGTCCCGCTCTTGGAGTATCGTGAAAGAGGTAAATCGCTGGATGTGCCCCAGTAAGTCGGGGAACAAGAGATTGTCCGTACACTGGTACTCACAAATAGTCCAATTCCATATTTCAATAATCGAACCTTCACATTGCAGCTGCCAGCAAGACTAAAACTACCTCACTCCTATTCTTTGCACCACTGGATTATGCCCCGGAGGACTTCTATTAGAGATATAGATTTGGTCACATGGTCGACTAAGTATAAAGGCAATTTTTTTAAGACAATTTCAGTTAATTAATCTAGATTTAAGGTCTTAACTTCACGCAATCGACTGAATTATTAACATATTTTTACCCATAAATTTTATTACGTATTCTCTGAATTTAACTATCACGAAAACGTCCTATTTAAGAATTACCAAGTTGTTACTCCATTTGTGGTTGAAGGCATTAGGAATTCTTGATTTCAACAACTTTCTTTTGACCCTCTTTTCTTCACAATAGAATGAAATATTCAATAAAATACAACTTACTATTAACTTGTCGAAATGTTTCTTCCTCAGGTTGTAAACTTGTCAATCTTGGCTTTTATGAAGTTGATTTGACATTTTCTTTTTGTTACGCACATTCAATCATATTAAAAGATTAAAAGAAAGATAAAATTTCATCGATTATTATGATCAATATTGTGCCCCGTTTGATTACACTAAAATCAACTTTTTAATAAATTTTGATAATACTCAACTATATTAGCAAAAATGGATGTATGACGGCAGCCTCTAAGCAAACCTCCTGACTATCTCTGCACTCTCACCTCCCTTGTCACTGAGCAATCATTTATAAACCTTAACCAGTGATCGAGACTACTTTCCTTATTGATGATGAAACGTATGATTGAAAAAATGATAAAACTTGTGTCTCATAAAATATGATTAAAAACTAATTGTCAACTTCGACTTAAATTTTTATTAACTTTTTTTGCTAAATCAAACAGGGCTTTGTATGCAAAAAGACACATCCATTTTGCAGCATCAAAATTTCCAATGCTAAGCCCCTTTGTGGGAACGTTAATCATTTACATAATTGATTCTAGTGTCAATTTTAACTCATTGATGATAACTTTACACTCTTCCATGCCTTTTACTGTTTCACACTTCCACAATGAATTTTGTACAGAAAAATACTGTAGAATTCAACTAATAAAAGCGTGACAAAGAATGAACAGATCAATATAGCTTAACCCTACCACTTCATTGACATTATCGATGAATTTACCTTTATCGTCGTCAAGAGAAAGCATATCAAATTGTGTACTTTAAGCTTCCCTTCTTCGTTTCGAAGTTCTTATTCACTTGACAAGATTAGACTCAACAACTAACTGATTCTATTACAATTGATCTCAATCATATCAAATCTCGTCAGTCCAGTATACCAAATATGCCGGTACAGCAATTCGAAGCACATAAGTAAAAAAGAAACATCTAAATGACTGAACCATTTCTAGTGTTTGAGAAAGATTCTAGCAAAGCCCAAACTTTTTATTCTACTATCCAGTGTTCAACATGACCCATAAATTCAGATACACGAACAAAACTCGTTACAGCCGGATTTTCTCTTCCGAGATTTGCATTACAATCAGATCGAAAAAATATATATATAAAATCAGATCAATGCCACTAAAAATTGCCTAGAAAAGGAAAAGGTGAGTAGTGCAGGTCCATAGCACCAAGCAAGCAAATTCGACATATATTGCCGACTAAAAACCAAGAAAACGAGATACACAAGGACATCGATATACTTACATTTATCTAGGGTAAAATTAGATTGGTATATTAAGTTCCTGTAGCGGCTCTATCGTCTGGCCCAGCAAGCATAATCTGGAAAAATTAGTGATTATTTAATTTTTAGTTTATTTTTCTTTACTGGAAAACAGATTACAAGCGAAGAAGAGAAGAAATAAAGATTTGGGACACTTACATTACAGTCAAATGCAAATCTTCTTGCCAGCATAATAGCTGCATTTCTTTCTCTTTCTGATTCAAATGCTAAGACGAAGGACTGCCCGTCTTTTGCTTGCCAATATACTGCCTGAGCTGCCGCATTCCCACCACCTCGAACTCCACAAAGCTGAGGGTGGAAAAAAATATTATAAATGGGTGTTTTAGTCTGGTTTACGAGAAACAAAAGAAGAAGCCAAACATGTAGCAAATGTAATGGCTATAAGAATGCAAGCCTTATCACTTCGGCATAAACAAGATTTCAGTCCTTCAAAAACTAAGAAAATAGCGCCTCAAATTACTCGGTTCCGATTCAGAGCATGTTTGGCTAAAGCTTAAAAAATTTACTTATATTTTGTAAAACACTTGAGGATGAGTAAGTAATGATCATATCTTTAAATGGAAAGCATTTACTAACGATAAATTAAGGGCATGTTTGGTAGTGATTATGAGGATTGATTTTTTGACCGTTAAAGAAAAAAGTAGATCCCACCTGTGAGTAAAAAAGTCAAAAATGATTGTTGGAATAGTGAAATAACGGTCAAAAAATTGATTTTTTGGGGTGAAAAATTGCTACCAAATAGGGACCAAGTAGAACACATCCAAATGGTTTAGACAAGTTAGTGCAGATTATGATAGTTTTGACAGTAACTCAAGAGGGAACACGTTGTTAACTACAACATAACATTGAGGAAGAAAAAATAAGGATCATTGTGAATTAATGACAGAAATTTTCCTCGAACGAGAGGAGCCTCCATTAGTACACAATAAAGCTAACTTGAGATGCATTTGATACCTGCATTAAATTGGAGTAGTATTCTTTTGCCACTGTCGTCTTTCCTTTGCAAAGTTTCATTCTCATCTTCCCCACATGCAGTACATGGATAGACTGCGACTGGTTATCCACCCCATTAATCTGGATAATAACTACCTGAAAAGCATTTATAATTCTGCATAAAAACAAGGGAAAAGTGGAAAAGTTTTTGATGTGCACCTACGAAAAGGACAGGATCTATATCTAATGAAAAGAATAATATACAACCAATTTACATTATGAGATTGAAACTACTTACAAAATCCTTGTGTAGTATTTGAATGTAAATGTGAAAAACTAGAATGGCTAATTACTTCATGGTAGACAATACAGACATGTTTGGTAGATAGTAGTGGACAGCAATCGATCGTTCATTGGTAAAAAAATTTAGCTTCTTTTCTTCTTAAATAATACCGAGACAATCCAATCCACCTTACCACACACTGTATATGAACACGTGTTCGCAGACAACATATTTTTCAATAAAAAGAATATTTACATTGAATTCAGTGTCATGCCTTCGCACCAATGCTTCTACGTAGTTCCCTAATCCAGCCGCTGTTCGGGAAAATGGAATCAGAATTATTGAAGTATACAGACAACTAAATCTGGAGTTAGCACATGGAAATTTATGTCAACGGACCCGGATCGATTGGAGTAGTGGTTCTCACTGTTATTGTTTGACCATCCGTCATAATAACAGCCTCTAGAAATCGTCCAACATCAAAAGGCTCAGCCAAGAACATGAAGTAACAATACCAGAAAAAAAAAATCTTTATTTTTTTTAAAAAAAAAAAAAAAAAATAATTAAAAGAAAAAAAAAAAAAAAAAAAAAAAAATTAAAAAAAAAAAAAAAAAAAAAAAAAAAAAAAAAAAAAAGATTTCACTTTGAATAGACATGTTTCACCTGATATAAGCTCCTTTTTGCCACATTCAGAGGTTGAACGGTACCATTGAATATTACATTCTGAAATTTCTCGAGCTCTATCAGAACAATGATATATCACTAGATATGAACCCAATGCCTCTGTACCATCTATTTCATATAAGTAAGGAGTATTTTCCTTGCCCTTCTTGCTCATTGTCAGCTGAAATGTTTTAAGAGAATGAACATGTAAGAGATCCAACCTCATGTATTTTTCAAATTCGCCGCATAAAAGTTGATCCTTACGAGTACTTGTAGATAATAGTACTCAATTAAAATTTCAGAAAAGCAATAAGTCCTATAACTCCTAATAACATCCAGAAAATGCATTTGCAAAAGGCAAACAAATTGATTACTAGAAGGAATCAAATCAAATCAAATTCTTTTTTTGGAGAACATCTTATCCCTGACAAGGGCCTTTTGCAGATCTCTCTCATTTTTCAGATCTTATATTTCAGCTCAGCTCTGCAATAATGCAGCAAAATTTCGTACCTCCATCATGGAAACTTAACATTTCACACTAATCTATAGCTTTCTTATTATATAATACATAAACATAGGCACAATTCTTAAATGGACATCATTATTTAATTTGTTAATATTTGTGAAGCGAGAAACAGAAAATATATGACTAAATAAAACAGAAACCTCTTTCTGGAGCTTTAGGTAACGCTTGGATTTCTCAGCAAGTTGAATCCTTAATGCTTGAAGCTCGTGTTCCATATCCATGACCTGTAAAATTAGTATTTCTTGCATCACATCCTCCAGCATGTGGAAGAGAAAGATTGTTATCATGGGATATAATGGAAAAAATACTCTAAATACAAAAAATAAAAAATAAAAAAATCCTGAATGATAATGGAATATTTAAATAAAGTTTTACTTTGGCATTTATGTTATTGAAAAAATATCAGAAATCTTTTAGATGATAAATTAATTTTATAGAAACAGGCAGAGAATGAGCACATGCCATCAGAAACTTGCAATAGATCATTTAAAAAATCAGTCATGTACATACCTGTTAGCCGCGTATAAGCCCAAATAAGAATGTTGTAAAGTTTCAAGATAAGATATAAATACCTTGCTAGGCTGATGCAGCATTCTGATCCGTCTAGCCTCACGCACATCTTTCATTAATTCTTCCAGATCCTAATCATTAAAATAAAAAGCATTACATTAGTGAAGTGTGACTGTTAACATAATACAGTATCGACTCTAATTACTGGTAAATTTCACATACAGCAGGTGCTGATGAAAACAGATTTGTAGATCCGACTACAACAAGGTTCCAGACAGTAATGGAATGTTCATACGTGCAAAAAAATCACCATAGGAATACCTTCATAGCGTAAAACATATACCAATCATGTGCTGGTTATTCTATACGCAATAATGGCCAAAAATATATAAAAACATCAAAATACATATTTAATATGAACTCAGAGACCAATAAAAATCTTGATCAAGATTCTAGATGCAATAATAGAAAGAATATATAATAATATCAAAAGCATTTTCCATATAATTACGCAGAATTGTCTCCACCCAAAAAGTAAGAGAATGCAACCAAAGAATAAAAAAAAAAGGGATTCTCAAAATCTATGACAGCAGACTCAAAATCTATGACAGCAGATGTGATACAAAAGTAATGTTATTAACTTCTTCGACTTGGATGCTCTAAGAGAGTATGACGCCATTATGAAAAACCGGTTTGGTAACAGAAGCAACACGACCATATTAAAAGTTTTCTTGAATATGAATGTAAACAAAAGAATTGTAACAGTACCTGCTTTCCTAAAGCTCGTGACATTCGTTCATGTTCCTGAAGAGCCTCTTCCACTCTCTGGACTGCTGCTCTAGCATTCTCAATTTCAGCCCGTGCAAAAGCCCTTTCTTCGTCAACAAGTTTTTTAGCATCTTGTGAAGCCTGCAAAACCATACAAAGTTATCAGAAGACAACAAAGACGGGAAGAGTTTATACAGAAAGTTTCTTGAATATGTCTGTGTCTAGGATTCGGGTATGAGCATCCAGTGCAGGTACATATCTAGAAATCGGATTCTTGTCTCTAAAATAAAGGATATGGAGATACAGCTAAAAGAGATCCAAAATTTAGACATGGGCACGTGGATATCTTGTAAACGTAAAAATTAGTTTAGAAATTTATATAATTAAAATTCTCGATGCATATATGTATATATAATCTATAAAAAATTACATTGCAAATTGTGATACTTCATTTGAATTTTAAATAAAAATTAGAAATCATTTTAAATACAATACCAAAATAACAAAAATGATATAAAGGATCTGATCTCATACTAGACATGTATTTCCCCATAAAATCTAATATCTTCCCATGTACGTGGACATCAGATTTTTACTCCTTGGTACATTTGTTCTAAGTGATGAAGGAAGATTAACAAACAAAGAAAACAGTTGGCAAACAGATTTTCTTGGAAACAAGATAGAATATGCATGGATGAAAATAAAAATGATTTAGATGACAGAAAGACAAGATTCAACTTGCACTATACACCTTCTTGTACATGTTTTGGCATAACATTAGGCCCTATTCTCAATTATCTGGATTAAGGGAAAGAAATATTTGTATATCTTAAGCCCCTATTTGGTAGAGATTAAGATCTTGAGTTTAATCTAAGTCAAAATCAACAATTAATTTTAATTACATATTTCATAAGACCCGCAATTTTTCAATCATACGTTTCATCAACTTTTATCAAATTCTACTAAAAAGCTTTAATCCCCACCTAACTGGGGCGAAATGAAACTGTGAACACTATGATTTGTACAAAATATGGAAAAATAAAGATTGTGGTACATAGCAATTGATCAAATTATAAAATGTCTAATTCTCTGTCATAATAGCATATCCAACATGAAACGTGCAATTTAATTTGCATCTTTCACCTAGTTATTAGACAAAGAAACAGATATTTCCAGAACTCACATAGAACCATGTCCTACGTCCCTAAATCCATATCCTTGTTGTGTTATGCATAGACACAGAAGGCTGGAAGTGGTGGATCATGCACAGAAACATTTATTTCTTATTAGAATTTTCTACAAAAACACCTTAAAAGGAAGGAAATGACACACATCACAAAACATGTGTTTATTTTACCTGCTTCAGAAAAGTAGCAAGCTTTTTCACTTCGTCCTTTTCTTGAATCAGCTCTCCTTCCCTCTGAGTTAACAAAACTGCTAAAGCTTCAACCTGGAAACAATATAAATACCGGCGGGTAGTATAAGTGGGAAACATTCAACAGTATAGTGATCCTCAGAGACTCAAAGGACATCCATGTAATAACCAATAGCATATCTCGCTAAAGGTTCAAAACAAGATATGTTAAAGGCAATGAAACCGAAGAGTATTCTTCCTTGGAGGAACACAAGTTGAGAATAGGTAGAGAGAGAGAGATAGTAAGTGAAACAAGAATTTAGCATCCTTTTCAATAGTGAATTATGCATACTAGCTCTTCCATTCTGTCATTTCAACAGGATTCCATTTATCTTCTCTGCATTTTCTGGAGAGGTTAACTAGATATATCTGCCTCGAACAAGTTTATTTAGTTCCATTGTTTCAGCAAAGAAATACAAAGAAGTTTTCCCCTTCATATCACATTTCTATGCAAGTTTGTTCCCAAGACCAGGTAAGTCTGACTTCAATGCTCATAGTTGAAGATTTTGATTAAATATAGTTCATCCTCATGCATTTGCACCTTATATCAATTCGATGGTCTAGCAGTGCACTCATTTGGTATGACAGCATTGAAAAGAACCATAGAATTATGACAGCAGTTAAGGTTCACAAAAGAAAATAAAACCCACAAACTAACCATAGCAATAGCTTCCTCGACATCATCTTTGTTTTTACTAGCTACACGTCCTCTCAAAGCTTCAAGAGCATCTCTGAGCTTCTTTAGAATCACGTGTTTCTCCAATGAAGCTGCCTCTTTGAGTCTCGCCTGGCGCCCATAAATAAAGGGCATTTAGGATCGTCATAGGGGCAAATATTACTCAATAAATACACATTATTTTCAGAAGTTTGATACGGAATAAAGAGAAGACGTGTATCTTGTGGAACGTGTCATGTAGAACTTGTTAAAAACAATATTGAATAAAAACCTTTCTCTCGAGATATTGCATAACAAGATTAAATGAAAAGTGAACACTTAACAACAAGATTAAACAAGGCCAAACCTCATCAGACAACTTAGCAGCGGCAGCCAACCCTTTCTCAAATTTGCTTGCAAGATCACGAACTGAAAGTCTTTTTTGCTGCTCTAGCAACAGGGCAGTTTCCTGCGCAACCACCTCTTTCATAGAAGATATTTTTGAGTTCTCTTTGACCTCCACAATCTGTTTGTTACTTCCGATTTTATAATTTGGAAATCGACTAGAGGCAAATACCACATCAGCTGACACTGGTGAAACTGCATCATTTTGCATTGTATAACTAAAATCCCGGCCTAATCTCGTCATAGTTTAATTCGCCTACAGAACACAAACGATATTTCTTCATTATACTCAGTAGATAAGACTGAAGAAAGTCCTTTCTACTGCAACTTTTCAACCTCAAATTATATAGCCGCAAGCTCAGTGTAAATTAATTACCTATATTATAAAGACTAACAGCAAAGAGATTTTTCAGTAAACCAACTTCAACAAATACAATTAAGGGACGGCTTTTATCAACCCAAATCACCACATTAAGAAATTAATCAGAAAATTGGACAGTAAAAATATAAACTTGATGTCAAAGAAAATCAACAGCCAAGAGATAGCATTTTTACCCTTGTATAATATTATTAATTACAAGTTAATAAAAAGGAAAAAAAACAAAATGTAGTTAACACAACCCATAGAAACCAATAAGGATTAGTGTAACATTAAATGAAAATCGCAAAATTTACGGTAGCCCAGACAATATTTCGAATAAAAACAGTAAATTTAAGAACAAATGATGAACTTAAAAACCCTAAAACTGTTATACCCGTGCGAGTTTGTGAGTGAGAAAGAAAAATACAAAAGGAAAGAAGAAGACAAATTGTACTCACGGATCATGTAAATATAGAAAATGGGATGATAACTAATCACAGGTTCGGCTTTATGATTAAATGAAACTCTGGACCAAACCCAACAGTTTGAATGCACGTATGAAAGCAAAGACAGGGAAAAAAAATGATAAAGAGAACAGGAAAGATGGTATTTCGTTTGAAGGTTGAAACTTAGGAAAAGGAGGCCGCTCACCCACCCCAACCCAACCCCTCTGTCTGTCTACGTGTATAGATTATGGTGGATTTTATCATTTATACATAAAAATATTTATCGAAAATGACGTGAAGGAAAAATATTAATTGTATTTGAAATTGACAAATGATAGAACATTATATAATTATTTATGTAAATCTTAATATACTTGTAGCAGCAATGTGTATCATCATTTGGCTTTTCATTGCATAATACTTGAGCACTCTTTGACGTCTAAAAGGAACTCCTTTGCCACTCTTAAAAATCAAATATTGTTTTTTGCTAATTTATTTAACAATTGCTTAAGAATAAGCAAGTTATTTTTATATTTTAGTGTTGATTAGATGACCCATATTATTTATATACAGGACTAGTTGATGGAATTCTATGTGTCTGATTCTATAGCAGAATCAACAAGTCTGTCAGATTAGACGTAGAGAAGTTGGGTGTCAGGACGGAGCCCCGTGGTATGGTACAATATTGTAAAGGTAAATTCGGGTTTAAGATTCTACATAAATAATCTATTGTAATCCTATTTAAAGTTAGTTCATTATTATCGTCGTACAGTGAATATACGCACATTGTCGAATCACTTAAGTTTTTGTGTGTCAATTCTACTATATTATTCACGTTTTCACAACACTTAGCTTACAATATTTTAAAGTTTTGCGAGTCATCAAGATGTTCGACCCAAATGTATTTTTTTAAGGATAAATAAATGAAACAGTTGAGAAATGTGTACTCTGTATAATGATAATTCGTTATTTGCTTGGACTTCAAACTTTTGCTGTTAGGGCTCCACCTGCTGCTGCTGGTAATCATTTGCACTTTTCGAATTATAATACAATACCCCTTAATTTTGTGTTAATTACGGGGAAAACCTGAATATGGACAATTTACCAGAAATAACCTGATGCCGACACATTTAACTTTCAAGGGCTGGTAAGTCCATGGGTTGTGTTTGGCCCGTGAAGTTGTACTTTTTGCTGTCCAAATCCATTGTAATACAAACCCAATTAAGCCCGTGACAGTGCTTAAACTTTTTCGTCACATTCTTATCACCAATTTTTTTTAATTAAAAGTAATGTCATTTAGTCTCAGTGAAGTTACAATCTCAATCTAGATGACTTTAATGTAACATTAAATGATAGATGAAATTAAATCAGACTTACTTAATTTCACATTTCATTCATCATATTATCTAACGCCAGCTAAAGTGAAGTTATAACTCCAGTGAGACTGAATAATATTATTCTTTAATTAATTATCGCTAACTCATTAGTAGTTCTTCTGTCAGATTAGACGTAGAGAAGTTGGGTGTCAGGACGGAGCCCCGTGGTATGGTACAATATTGTAAAGGTAAATTCGGGTTTAAGATTCTACATAAATAATCTATTGTAATCCTATTTAAAGTTAGTTCATTATTATCGTCGTACAGTGAATATACGCACATTGTCGAATCACTTAAGTTTTTGTGTGTCAATTCTACTATATTATTCACGTTTTCACAACACTTAGCTTACAATATTTTAAAGTTTTGCGAGTCATCAAGATGTTCGACCCAAATGTATTTTTTTAAGGATAAATAAATGAAACAGTTGAGAAATGTGTACTCTGTATAATGATAATTCGTTATTTGCTTGGACTTCAAACTTTTGCTGTTAGGGCTCCACCTGCTGCTGCTGGTAATCATTTGCACTTTTCGAATTATAATACAATACCCCTTAATTTTGTGTTAATTACGGGGAAAACCTGAATATGGACAATTTACCAGAAATAACCTGATGCCGACACATTTAACTTTCAAGGGCTGGTAAGTCCATGGGTTGTGTTTGGCCCGTGAAGTTGTACTTTTTGCTGTCCAAATCCATTGTAATACAAACCCAATTAAGCCCGTGACAGTGCTTAAACTTTTTCGTCACATTCTTATCACCAATTTTTTTTAATTAAAAGTAATGTCATTTAGTCTCAGTGAAGTTACAATCTCAATCTAAATGACTTTAATGTAACATTAAATGATAGATGAAATTAAATCAGACTTACTTAATTTCACATTTCATTCATCATATTATCTAACGCCAGCTAAAGTGAAGTTATAACTCCAGTGAGACTGAATAATATTATTCTTTAATTAATTATCGCTAACTCATTAGTAGTTCTTTATATATATATATATATTATACACAGATTATGTTGATCATGTACAATTATCATTAAAAGTATTCGATGTTAAGCTCGAAAAAAGGAGGACATTTTTTTTTTTTTTAAAAGCCAACTCGTGGATGGACTTACGGAGTCCACAAGTCAAAGAGTCAAACAAGCAGAATATTTGGCCACGAACTATGCTCGAGTGTCTAAGGATCAAACTAGTTCTACTCGACTCATTGTGACTCTTAACTAATTTTACTCATTGGCCCTCCTACTCTAAACTTAATTAGTATGTTGAACCAATGGTTTAATGTTATCGAATAGATAGAAAAAATTGGATTGGTAATCGGTCAAGTTGATGCTTAAAACTTGCATATATAGAAATCGGCTCAAATTTTTATTATAAATTTATTTTATCAATAATTTTGTTGGTTATGATTTGTAATATATGAAGTTCTTAAGATCTTATATACTGTGGCACTGGCAGTGGATCAATGGCGACCTCGAAGAACATACTCCCACTCCTCCTTTTAATCCTCCTCTCTCTCTCCACCATCTTCCTCCTCTCTCTTCCCCCATCCAATACCAAGTTCCAAATCCTTCCCCAATTCCCCACAATATCAACTTCAAACCCTGGCCCAAATTTCACTCTCCTCATCAAAGTCCTCACTTTTAACCGTCTCTCTTCTCTCACCCGCTGCCTCAACTCTCTCGCTAAAGCGCAGTATGATGGCATTAACGAAGTGCATCTTCATGTATTCGTTGATCATTTTATGCAAGATTCAAATTATGGGTCTGCGGACTTGGACCAACGATTGAATCTTTCGAAAGAAATTCTTGATTTCGTCGATGGGTTTGAGTGGAAATTTGGTGAGAAGTTTGTGCATTATCGAACTTCGAATGCTGGGCTTCAGGCTCAGTGGCTCGAAGCCTGGTGGCCCAGTTCGGATCATGAATTTGCATTTTTTTTTGTTGAGGATAATCTGGAGGTTTCACCTCTCTATTATAGGTTATCCATATGATTTTTTTTTTTTTTTCCTCAATACCCATTTTCTTAATGTTAGGTTTACGGAATTTTTATTTGAGCACAGAGGGGACTGATTCAAATTCTGTATTTTATCTATAGGTTTCTTAAGGCTGTGATTTTGAATTACTACTATAATGCTTCAAACTTTAATAATATGATTTATGGGGCATCACTGCAGCGGCCGAGGTTTGTGCCAGGTATTTACTTTTGTTATTTTCCATTTCTTGGAGATTTTTGTTTTGTCACTTTGATCTGTAGTTGCTTAGAAAAGGTTCAAATAGAGCTCATTTCTTTACAGTATAATTTAATTTGTAAGCACGGAACAATTCTATTTGAATAGTTGTGTTATTTATGAGGAAATGTTGGAAAACGATGAGAACGTTGTAACACCTTAGTCAACACCATGCTTGATGTAGCATGAATAGAAATTAATGAGCCAAAGCCATATTTACAACAATTCAAAGTGCATCTCACCTACATTTTGCTTTGAAGGAATTGCACTCTTAAGAATCCAAATTCTTGGAAATTCCATTTTCAGGAATTTTGACCACAGTGATTTGATTCTATCTTCCTTTCTGATCAATGTTTAATCAAATCAATTCTTAAAATGTGTAAACTCGATATAACGTATAATGCTATAGTTTCTTGCATATCATGGAATATTGAGAATTAATAATGTGCAAAATTCAGTAAACTGGAACCTATATCTTACATTTCCTAAGATTTTATGAAGCCTGTCCTTTGTTTGTGCCAAACAGATAACCATTAAAGCCATGTGCAATAACTTCATTGGCGCTAGTCAAGTATACCAAGAATGCAGGTGTACCAACTGTATTTATGTCTGAGCACGTAGACATTTCATGTTACTGGTCTCAGTCTACCTTGTTCATTGAGAATGACATGCAGACGAATGCTAATCTGCAGGATTATTCCATCACAAGTTAAAGGAAATTTAATCCTTCTAAGTATATCAAAACTTCAATGATGAATCCTCTCTCCATTTTTCTTTCATTAGTCTTTCATATTGGGGGATCCATTTGATATGTTTCCTTTGGTATCTACGGAACCTGGTCATACAGCATGACAAACAGATTACCCTTTTCTTATTTATAAGCACGTTTATAATGGGTATTTGAAAGAGATAGATTAAGAACTAGATTAATTAGAAAACATCGAGAAAAAAACAAATCTTTTTTGGTTTTAAACCTGCGGCATAGAAGGAATAGGAAAAGACTATAGAATTTTTTTAAATTTAAAAGGATCAATCTCGGTCTACGAATATATTCTTACTCAACGGATTCCTAGAATTTTAGGTGGGATGGGGATTGTAATTCTTACTACTTCTCGAGGTATAATGACAGACCAAGAGACTCGACTCGAAGGAATTGGCGGAGAAATTTTGTGTTATATATGGTAATCCTTTTAATATCCAAATGGGATCCGAAACTTCTTCCTATTTCTAAAAAAAAAAAAAAAAGAAAAGGGACGAGTTGTCTAATATTGTTCCTCCTCCATAAGTTGATACTTCAAGGAGGCTTTACCTGAAATGAAAGAACAAAAATGGATTCATGAAGGTTTAATTACTGAATTGCTCTCAATGGTATGTTCCAGGTTCAGTTAGATAATGAAGATCTGATCCTGGTTATGTTTCAGGAAAGATCCGGAGTAGTTTTATATGGATACTGCTAGGAGATAAGTCAAAATTGAAGAAGTCGTTATGATTCAACCAAAAGATGTATAATTTATCGACTCCACAACAAGGATTGGAAGGATTAGATGGTTTTTATTCAATATGATTCGAGATGAAAAATTTCAAGAAACTTATTTTTTTTCCAAGAAGTAGATTCAGAATTAAGATAAGGAATGACAAATATGAAAATAAGAGCTTATGTTCGTAAAATTTGCAAAAAATGTCGCCAATCCATAGGCGGGGTGCATTATTGTAATTTGTTCCAACCCGAGACATAAACAAAGACCAGGATAATTAGACTCACTAAAGGACTCGTTGTAAAAATAAGGATTCTATTTTGAGATGAAATGGATATATCCATATATCTCTTGACTGATATTTATGCGATGATAAAATATTGAAAAAGCTAAATTGAGAATCGGTTCACGTAGAAATGGACATATTGATTCACGTAAGAGTTCACGTAGAATACCAAAGGGGTTTATTCATGTTCAAGCAAGTTTCAATAATATTATTGTCACGGTTACAGATGTACGGGGTCGGGTGGTTTCTTGGTCCTCAGCGGGTACTTGTGGATTCAAGGGTACGAGAAGAGGGACACCCTTTGCCGCTTAAAATGCAACAGCAAATGCTATTCGTATGGTAGTAGATCAAGGTACGCAATGAGCAGAAGTCATGATAAAAGGTCCCGGTCTCGGAAGAGACGCAGCATTATGAGCTATTCGTGGAAGTGGTATACTATTAACCTTTGTACGGGATGTAACCCCTATGCCACATAATGATTGCAGACCCCCTAAAAAAAGACGTGTCTAGAAATAAACATTGAAGAAATTTCAAGAGAAACAAGAGAAATAAATGATTAATCAAATCAAATAATATTGCTATGGTTCGAGAGAAAGTAATAGTATCCACTCAGACACTATAGTGGAAGTGTGTTGAATCAAGAGAAGACAACAAATGTCTTTATCATGGACGCTTTATTTTGTCTTCACTTCTGGAAGGTCAAGCCGACACAATAGGCATTGCGATGTGAAGAGTTTTACTTGGAGAAATAGAAGGAACATGTATCACACATGTAAAATTTGAGAACTTCCCACATGAATATTCTACCATAGCGGGTATTCAAGAATCGGTCCATGAAATTTTAATGAATTTAAAAGAAATTGTATTGAGAAGTAATCTATATGGAACTTGTGACGCGTCTATTTGTGTCGGAGGTCCAGGATATATAACTGCTCAAGATATCATCTTACCACCTTATGTAAAAATCGTTGATTATTATACACAACATATAACTAGCTTGACGGAACCAATTGATTTGTCAATTGGATTACAAATCAAGAGAAATCGCGGATATCTTGTCAAAATGCCACATAACTTTCAAGATGGAAGTTATCCTATAGATGCTGTATTCATGCCTGTTTGAAATTAGTATTCATTCTTATGGGAATTGCAATGAAAAACAAGAGATACTCTCTCTCGAAATATGGACAAATGGGAGTTTAACTCCGAAAGAAGCACTTCATGAAGCTTGGCGAAATTTGATTGATTTATTTATTCCCTTTTTACATAAGAATAAAACTCATTTATTTATTCCCTTTTTACATAAGAATAAAACTTACATTTAGAGGACAATCAACACAAGGTTCCTTTATCCTCTTTTACCTTTCACGATAAATTGGATAAACTCAGAGAAAAAAAGCATTGAAATTGATTTTTATTGGCCAATCAGAATTCTCTCCTAAGGTCTATAATTTATATTGGACCTTTTGAATAACGATCTGGAAGATCTCATGAAAATTGAACATTTGCGTATAGAAGATATAAAACAGATATTGGTCATTGAAATTGATTTTTATTGACCAATCAGAATTCTCTCCCAGGGTCTATAATTTATATTGAACCTTTTGAATAACAGTCCGGAAGATCTCACGAAAATTGAACATTTGCGCGTAGAAGATATAAAACAGATATTGGTCATTCTAGAAAAATATTTCGCGATTGATTTACCAAAAAATGAGTTAAATCTATTAGATTTTTTTCGTCTTTTTTTTTTTATCAAGATGAAAATAGGTTTTGAATCTTTAGCACAATTCATATATTCAAAAGAAATTCAGAATTGAATAGATGTATCTAGGGAGAATTCGCTTTCATGTGACTATTCCCTAGATACACACGTCGCGCTATTTCACAATTGAATCAACTTGAAAAAGACCTAAAGTTAGAGATTTATCAATAGGTAATGTTGCACCAATACCCAACCAAAGAGTGACTGCACTACCAATCAAAAAAGATGGTTGTCACTACTGACGACGAAATGGATTTTAGAATTTATTAGCATTCTCTAAAAAGGATATTGTTAATAATTCCGCAGGTACTAAAACCATTAAAAGAGCACCCAATAATTTATTAGTTACTGTACGAAGTATTTGAAATAGGGAAAAGAAATGCCATTTAGATAAGATTTCCAACGGGGTTGTAAACGGATATGCCAGTTCACCAATCACTGATGGTTCTAGGACTGCTAAGCCTACATTACATGCAATAGTACCTAGAATTACTACTAGAAAAATATATAAAAGATCATTGGGCCATGCGGGTTCTTCGTAATAATTTTAACCCATACCTTTAGCCAATTTAGCTCTTAATATAGGATCATTCAAATTAGGTTTTTTTGTTATTGGGATAGGTGAATTCTTATAGATCCATACCCCGAAGGAACCGGACATGATAATTTTTTATCATCGAGCTCGAGCAAGATTCAAAAGAACCAAATGAATCCATAAAAAATCTATATGTTGCCTATATATACATATATGAATGATTCAATGTAAGAAAAATTTGACTCTTTTTTCCGGAATTGCAACTACCCATTGCAAAAAATTCGATTATGAGTAAATGCTCAATACCCAAGTTGGCTTACGAAGTTGATCATGATATGATCCAGTGCTTTCTGGGTCGTCTCAAATCTTACGATTGGTATGTATCTCCAAAATATTTGGAGATATACACACAAAAGGTTTGCTTGTTACTAATCTAGTCTAGCTTATGTTTTTCTTTAAATCCCAGGTTTCACTCCGATAGTATTATCGATCATATCAATGCAGAAGAAATAAATGCATTTCCATACTATTCAATTTTAAGTATTAAGTAAGTGAAATAGATAAAGATTTTGTTTTAGTTTATCCATTTCACTTATTATAATTATACTGGATCTTACGGTGCCTGCTCATGTACAACATGATTCGGTCTGATCATAGAATAGAAAAGAATCTCTTCAAATGAGCCAGCCTATCTTCTGTATAGGGCTTACGCGACGGTTGGAACAAATACACATTTGGTTGTGAATTTCAATGTGGCAGACATATATCTACACAGACCAGTTAATAGTTCAAGTCACACACTCCCATAATCCATTTTCTCTTCGTAGAATTCATTTCAACTCTACATTTATTTGACATGATTGGTTGAAGGGAAATATCCAAATACATGGATTATTATTTTCAATAATCCATACTTGTAGCAATGAAATATTATTATTCCTCCTCCAAGTGATAAATGATTGATTATAAATATCTATTATGGATCTTCTCTATAAAGGACTGGAAATACCTTGTTTACGCATCATTGGAAAGTGCATTAACATAAATACAGCAGTAAAAAGTGGCAATTCAAAAGTGTGTAAACTATAAAAACGAGTCAAAGTGGATTGTCCTCCACTAGCACTTCCGCACAATAATTCTACCAAAGGCGATCCTATTAGAAGAATAGCTCTAGGGACACCTGTTACAATTTTTACCGCCCAATAACCAATTTGGTCTCGAGGTAAGGAATAACTAGTTACGCCAAAAGATGCGGTCAATACCCCCATAAGCATACCTGTAACCCAAGTCAATTTGCGAGGTTTTTTAAATCCACCCGTGAGATGCACACGAAAAACATGCAGGATCATCATTAGGACCATCATACTTGCGGACCATTGATGAACTGATCGGATTAACCAACCAAAGTTAGCTTCCGTCATTATCTATTTGGAGATTAGGAATAGATGGCCTTTCTATAGGACCCACTTTACTGACGAAATTCATCACTACTTTAGAAGATGCGGTCAATACCCCCATAAGCATACCTGTAACCCAAGTCAATTTGCGAGGTTTTTTAAATCCACCCGTGAGATGCACACAAAAAACATGCAGGATCATCATTAGGACCATCATACTTGCGGACCATTGATGAACTGATCGGATTAGCCAACCAAAGTTAGCTTCCGTCATTATCTATTTGGAGATTAGGAATAGATGGCCTTTCTATAGGACCCACTTTACTGACGAAATTCATCACTACTTTAGCGGCTCGACCAATTACTCGGGATTCTCGACTATTTCATTTCTTGATGTTAGCAATGTACAGTGGTAAAATAGGATTATTTTCTTGTTAGGCAGTTGGTCAGATCTAGTATGGATCATACATGGACGATAGTTGGAGTCGGCTGCTCTCCCCGGGGTCCCTCATCTGAGATCTCTACGGAAGAGGATCAAGTTGGCCCTTGTGAACAATTTGATGCACTATTTCCCTTCAACCCTTTGAGCGAAATGTTGCAAAAGAAAAGGACCGACCCCATCATCTCCACCCAGTAGGAACTTATGATTCAGATATGAATGTAATAGTTACTTTCAATAAGTTAGTTGTTTCCATCTTTGACCAACAATGAAAATTAATTTTAACTTTATATGTAAATAGTTTAAGCTTAGCCAAGCATACTGTATAACTTTAGCTGATAATGTTACATGTCATGTTTATATGCTTCATTATCATGATTTTTGCTTGCCATAGAGCTTTTTAACCTATGCTAGTCTTTAAGTATCTGTATCGGTTGCTGCTGACAGGTAAACACGGAAACAAAATGCATTTAGATAGTGGAACTCACCTTTTCTTGTATCAGCTGGTCGGCACTTGGGGTCAACTTCTGTTTCCAAAACCCTGGAAAGAGTTCTGTTTGTGGTACGACACACACAAGGCAAAAGGCATGAAGCCGGGGGATGGTAATATTTATTATTCTCATGTTTCCCAATCCCAATTTGTATGTTTTTTGGTCCTTCTGACATGGTACATTGATGTGTAATAGGTGACAAATGGATGGTACAAAAAGATGGGAGAGAGAATTTGGACTCCTTGGTTTATTAAATTTATCCATTCTCACGGGTACTTCAATTTTTATACCAATTTTTTGCAAGAGAGAGCACTCTGTCTCTCATAGAGATGCTGGTGTTAATTACAGGAAAACAGCAGGACCTGATTCTTACTTACTGGATGCAAATTCTAATGATTCCAACTCTCTGGAACTACATCCTTTAAGTGATCTCAAGTGGTATGACTTCTGCTTCAGAGAAGTATTTACTAATAGGATAGTTAGAAGTCCTGATAAACTTAGATCTGTTCTTCAATCTGTGCAGAAAAATGACACTGTTATCGTAATAAGCCTTTACAGGGTATCAGAGACTATTGTCAGAAATTTTCTCTGCCACATTGAGAGGTTGAATATTCGAAACTATATCTTTATTGTCCCAACATCTCTTTTCCTACTTGATCTTGCAAGAAGAGGGCATCCTGTAATTGATAAAGACCAGTTTTACGATCCTGCACTTGCCAAGTCTTTTAAGTTTCAGAATACAATGGAGGAACTTACCAAGGAGATTCTTGTGGAGGCATTTGTGACTAAAAGATGTTTGGAACTTGGTTATAGTACCTGGCTACTCAAGTTTCCCCTTGCCAGTGATTTATTTCTGAATTCCTTTGAGCAGACCAATTATTTTGTTATTGGGAAGAGTTATAGACTTCTTTTTGTCGGGAGCTCATCCCCTGTTTTAAAAATTTGGGTTGAAGATTTTATACATGAAGCTGCTACATTGGTGAACACACGGAGAAAAGATTCAGTTCCTCATGACAGCAGTTTTTTGTTATGCAGTGGAAAAATTATTGAGACAAAAGAGCATCAAATATAACAGCATGGATGAGACGCAATTAGGCTTTGATATCAACATTGCTGATGCTAAGTACCAAACCTCTCCAGGGATTGAAAAGAAATTTGCTTTCTGGTCTTCTGAGACTGAACTGGATATAATACAAAGGCAGCTGGTACAGTTGAGATTATGGGTTGTGGATGATGAATCTTCGTGCACCGCTGTTATTTGTCACCCAACATAACATTTTCTGATATACCTTCTTTTTCACTTAATTTTGGAGAAATACGGCTAGAGTATAGAATAGTGATGTTTCAGGTAAATTGTCTGCTTGGGACGTGCACAAAATTGTTGNCCCTCAAACTCTTCTGTTGGGAGAACTTGCAATGTTCTGATTCTTGTCTTGCTTGATTGAGAAAGCAAGCTAGTTGGTGGATGAGCAGTGGTGTAAAATGGCATGCGTAAATGTCGCTATAATAGTTTGGTGCCAACGAAGCTGGTTCAGTAACATTTTATTGGTGCAAATGGTCCTTGTTACAGCAGTGTAGAGCAGTTAAAGCCTGTTAAGAGGAACTCCCTCAAACTCTTCTGTTGGGAGAACTTGCAATGTTCTGATTCTTGTCTTGCTTGATTGAGAAAGCAAGCTAGTTGGTGGATGAGCAGTGGTGTAAAATGGCATGCGTAAATGTCGCTATAATAGTTTGGTGCCAACGAAGCTGGTTCAGTAACATTTTATTGGTGCAAATGGTCCTTGTTACAGCAGTGTAGAGCAGTTAAAGCCTGTTAAGATAAGAAGGTGCATCTGGTTCGCAGATCTTACATATTCTGGACAAGTTTTTGTTGCGCGATAGCCATGTAGGACAATTTGAACCCTACAGTTTTTAAAGGGACTTTTTTACGTAGTATTAAATAGAACCAGTCTAAGACAATACAAAGGATGCGAGAAGGATAAGATTTTGGCTTCCTTTTCTCTACTATGAATGCTATTAAAGGTTTTTTATATAAATAGCGGAAATGGTTAACAGGTTGACTTTTGAGTGGCAAATACTTGACCAGCTGAACAATCATTTGACAATGGAGATCACTGCCACATTATCCATAGCATAAAAATGCATTGGAAGTTCATTGAAGAATGTAGCAATGACTCCACTGCGACATAGAATGACAATATCTAAACTCTAAATAAATAGCATTATTCAGTCAAGCCACAAAATGAGCCTTACAATATAGGGATGTTAATATGGCTCAAATCTGGAAATAATTGGTTATTGCATTCTAGTTTATTGGAGACCAAGAGTGCATTAGCACTTTATCTTCGAGTGAATTACCCAAATAGTCATTGAACTTTGTAAAAAGTTTTCACGAAGTCATTGAACTTTAAAAATTACACAATTTATCATTGAACTTTGCAAAAAGTTTTCATGGGATCATTGAACTTTAAAAATTACCTCATTTATCACTGAACTTTGTAAATAATTTTCACGAGGTTATTGAACTTTGCAAAAGATTTTCCAGGGATTGCTAAATTTTAATAACCCCTAGGAAATTTTTTGCAAAGTTCAATGATAAATTAGGTGATCTTTAAAGTTCAATAATCTTCTGAAAATATTTTTCCAATTTAGTGATGAATTTGATAATTTTTAAAATTTAGTGACCTCGTGCAAACCTTTTACAAAGTTCAGTGACCATTTGATTAATTCACTCCTTTATCTTCAATTTAATTGAATAACCTTGAAAATCGTAGCTTGCTGGTTTTTCCATCATCCAATCTACAACCAATGGAATTTCCATAATGGAAAAGAAATCCATGGGAGTGAGGGTTTTGAATAGAGCTAAAGGAAATAAGGCAACGATAATAATTTTTTCAAAAGCTATGCTCAAGAAAAGCTATCAATACAACAATAATTTAGGTTCATAATTAGACTACTCTTGATCCATTCTCCATGTATTTTGGACTTCCTGCGAAGTATGAAAATGTATAAAATATGTGCCCGGGGTGCACAACAAAGATATAAGTGTGGCACTCAATGAAAATGGAATGCTATCTGTTGAAATATAAGGCAACATGAACTGTGATGGACCACAATAACTGAAGTTTCCAACTGCTTTTAGCTCGGGGTTTTACTTTCTTCTTCGAGGCTTCCTAGGATGTCAATACATTTCTTCAACAGAGACTTGGCCTGTTCATTTTTTTCCACTTCACACAGATGAAGAAGATCGGCCTTAAACCCTACTTCTGTTCTATGAACTGAAGGAATGTCCCTGCAGTGAGTCAACTCCAGAAGACACTCTGCAGCCGCTACATGAACCTGAGTTCATTGCACAAAAACTTAAGATGAGCTCTAAAACCCAAACGTATATGCGACCATAAACTTTAAGAATTGAGATTCAAGTACAAGATGTCTATTTCACACAAACCAACAATAGCATTCAGAAATTATTAGTTACACAAATGAAGAAAGGAAAATAATAGGCGCCATTTTATACTTTGAAGAGCACTCTTGACTTCTCAAGTTCTCGGTCAACAAGAGATTCTATTTATAAAATGCATCAATAGAAGTGAATAAACTCGAGAAAACATATAGTGATCCAAAAAAGGCAAGCAAGGAGAGTAATATACCTGGCCAATTTTTATTGTGTGGAGACAATTAAGCAATTCCGGCAACAGTGTGTAAAATAACTGAAAACATTTAGAAAGCCGAATTAGAGTCCATACAAGTGTTAATGGGTATAGGACAATAAAGAAATATGAGAACTATTACCTCATGAACTAAAGCAGATATGCTGGAATGTAAAGTAGAATCTTGAGAGTCATCGCTACTAATTCGAAGCCTTGAGCACAGCTCTTTTATAGATGAAAAAACTGGCATTTTAACTGTTGGCAAAATGGAAAGTGTGGCAGTGAGGGCAAAGCTAAAACAGAATTAAGAAGGGAAGCATAATTGAATGGTTGTACCTGTCCAAGAAAAATTAGGGGAGAGAGAAATCAAAAACACATCAATCAAGTCCTTGTGTAGTTTGAGAATATCGCTGATTCGAGCCACATGGATGCAGGCCGTTATGGAATTTATTATTTTTTCATATAAAGCCGGGGAACTATCTTTCTCATCTGCATCTGCACAAAGAAAGTAGAGCTTTGCTGAATTGCTTGCTGTGTGTCATGTTCACATAAAAAAACTCTCCCATAATTCAATACAATGCACCTTTGTAATGCAGGATTTGAAAAGAAAATTCAAAATTATCAGTAATTTCAAAATATGGTTTCACTGAATTTCACTGATTGCTATACATGAGAAATAATAGCTCAAATGGGTTGATATGGTCTTAAGAAATGTGCATTATACTTTTGAACTTAATTCTAATAATCCAAAAGATAAATAAAACTAACTTCTTTGTTGTAAAAATATTTTGCAATACTCCAATCTAGGAGGTGGATTATCAAGAATCCTTCCCACCACTAGAGATGAATACTATTCGTACTTTACTATCTTTAGCATCTAATCTCATTTGGTCTTTACAACAATTTAATGTCAAGAATGCATCTTTAAACGACATCTTGGAAGAAGAAATTTAGATGAGAAACCAGCCAAGATTTGATGGGACTCAAGATGGCACTCTATGGGCATAAGCAATCTTGCATAGCATGGTTCGGTAGGTTTACCAAGGCCACGGAAGAAATGAAATGCCAAGGAAGCCAAAGGAAATCATACCTTCTTCATCAAGCACTCAACTCTGGTAAAGGTAACAACCCTATTGTTTACATAGATGGCATAATAGTATCAGAAGATGATTGGGAAGATAAAATATCTGGAAAAACAATTGAATCAAAGAATTTGAGATAAAAGAACGAGGGAGACAAGTTTTGAGGTGGCTCATTTGGAAAAGTATGTTTATAACAAAGTATAAATATTTCCTTGACCCTCCTTAAAAGACCGAGATGCTACTGTGCAACCAATTGATGCAACACAGAACCATAAGCTTGGAGTGGGTAAGGAAAAGGCACACACACACACACACACACACATATATATATATATATATATATCAGTAGACAGAGGATGTATCAATGGTTGGTTAGCAAGCTTTATGACTTGCCAAACAACACCAAATTGGCCTATGTTGCTAGTGTGGCAAGTCAATTCATGCATTCGCAAGTCAAGTCCCCCAGAAGCAGTTTCTAGAGCGTTTCATTAAGTTCAGCTTCTAAAAAATAATCTTGTTTAAAAGCAATATAGAAGAAATTTATTTTAATGCAGATTGGTCAACCATAGATTGAAGGTCAACATCAGGATACTAGGGAGGGAATTTAGTGACATGGAGGAGTAAGCAGAAGACACTGGTTAATATGTCAAGGAATTAATAACTAAAACATCAATTTTCTGATTAATTCAAAGTCATTTTTTGAATTTGCAAGTCCTGATATACAAATACTGACAATATTTCTTTTGAAAAATTGTCAAATTATAGCCATCGTCTAGAGGAAATGCAATCACTCAAAACATTATAGTAGTTAGATTGAATAAATGGTTAGGGATTATAGTGCACAAGAAGGAAATTCATATATTTAACTCTATATCTAATTCGGCACAGAAACTAGTATCACATGGACTCGTTGAAGCAACTGAGCAAGGTATTAGCATGAGTAACAGCCGCACTTGGTTTAATGTAGTAGTTAAAAATCCTGATGTAGGGTTGCCTAATTTCATGTTGTTCCTTTCATGCCTTAAGTGATTGTATACCTCCCGTGTACTCTCTTTTAAGGAATAAAATTTTCTGATTACCTATCAAAAAAAAAAAGCATGAGTAACAGCCTGACAGAGAATAAAATGAACAGCGAGTGAATTTTCAAAGATTAGATCATATTTTGGTTCCTTATTATAACCATGTCGTAATTGGTTAAAGACCCAATAGCAAGTAAATATGATTTTTATAAGTTTAGTTATTTGTGAAATAATAACCTCAAATTACGGAGGGATTATGGAACCAGAAGAATAAGCATTCGTATTAAGAAAAATTAATTCCACTTCCAGTAAAACATTTCCAGAAAATTAACTTAAATGTCAGAAAAAAAAAGACGGTTCTAAGAACTCAGAAGTAAAACCATAATCCAGCAACTAATTCCACCGAAAACTGTTGCTGATTTTTAAGAGGGAAAATCGTGGGACCTTATCTATGAAAGGACTTGTGATGTACCTGCTTTATCATCACTTGTCAGGGGTATTTGACTTGACTTTCTATGAGCGATCGAATTGCATGTATCCAATAACGATGGCAGAACAATCTCAATGAGATCTGGATTGTTGAAAGTTTTGATAACCTAAAAGCAGAATGAATGAAGAGAAGTAAGATTAATGCCATGAAGCGTGTAAGATCATAACACGCTGAACAAAAGCTCGATAAGAAAATCACAAGAAATATATATGAAGTCTTTAGTCCCCTAGTGATATCATATGAAACCTTCATAACAAAGAAAAGGCTAAGATGGACAAAGGCATCAATACAAAATTTAGTGTAAACCTTAGAAGTAAACAGATCTCTCTTTCTTTTTTACCTTGAAGTTTGAACACCTTCATGATTTTAAAAGAAAAAATCCACACAAATTAGGTTTCCACAAGTCCGCTGTGTTACTTCTTTTTAAGCATTCCTTTGCTTTTCTTTTAATAACAATATTTCCCCTTTTTTCTTTCTTCACCTTTTATTTTCAAGGATGACGGGGGGGAATTTTGAGGTTTTGGAATAACATAGTAGCACCACAATGTACAGGTCGTTACTGCTTTTTAATTCTTTTCTGTAATGCAGTGTAGACAATGCTCGCTGTCACTTGAAATTTTTTTATCCAAGACAATTATTGAGAAAACTGCCAAATTGCAGGGGCATATTTAGCAACATGAACTGGCAATCTATTTGGTTTGTCAACAGGGCAGGAAAGAGAATAGTTAATGGACAAATTCTTTAGGAATCCAACTCTTGAAAATTACATACATAGAGAGTGGATATAACGGATTCCAAGTTGAAAGAGCAACTTATTCATGACTGAGAATGGCACTGAGCTTGCCTCGGTAGAATTGAAAATTTACCTGCTCAAGACAGCAAAAAGCAGCTTCACGATATTTTTGTGCTTTCTTTGTGCATGCGGAAGATATAAGACTTAATATAGCCTTTGGAGCATCAGGATCGGAAGCAGAAATAGCTTTATGGCACGATGTGCAAAGAGCAGACAATGCATTTAATAGTGCATCCTTTCCCTGTCACATAGTGATATACACAAAACACAATAAGCTATAAATTAATGTTAAAACAAACAAAACATCAGCTCATGCAAATTGTTTATTGCTATAACAAGATTGCAAGACAAATTTCAAGCAAACCAGAAAGGTAGACAAATGAGATGAGATGTAACAAACAAAAATATATAGCCCATAAACAGACAACTTTTAGAGATTACAAAATGACTATGCAAAATTTGTTGAGAAACAGGTTTGGATTTAACTTTTGGAGAGAAGAAGATATTCTTCCTCTCATTCACTTTCATTATATAGATAAATCACGGGTAGTACACATATTTAAATAGATACCAATATGGAGACAAAATAAACCCAATCATACTCTTCCCTAATCTATGTTATTCTAATATACTTATTTCCTTAACACCTGTTACAAATTTAGCTTAAACTAACGAATTCTCTGAATTCAATGAGATCAGTGATACATGGCCCATTTATTCTGTGATCTTGGTAATCCACAATCCAATAGAAGTTGTATATACGATTCCATACGTATTCACCAGCATTTTCTTGCAACGCAAAGGCCGTAGTATATTGTTAAGCAAGCCATGATTTGTTAAGCTACATGAAGAATCGAAGATGTAACATAATTCAAATAAATGTGCCTACCTCCCACAACCGCCCAGGAAGTTCCTTCATAAGAGCGGTGAGCAAGGCATTATAATGTGAAGATAATGATTCGCCAAGGACTTCGCTAAGCTTACGAGTTGCTTGTGCTGCCTGCACAATCCGATAAAAATATAAAATAAAAAAGAATACATTTCTCGAATACTATCAACAATAAAGGAAATAAAGTAGGAAAGCAGGTAACAACTTTTGATTTACATTTTGAATAAGGAAACTACAAGACAAAAACAAGAAGAAACATGCCTTCTTTTTTGTTGCCCATGACGATGACATAATTCCTTCACTGATAAGAGTAACAATTTCTCCCAAGTAAAGTTGAAGAGTTATCCGTTCACTGGGCATGTTTTCCTCCCACAATTCTTCATATAAATTAGAAATGATCGTGTCATCCTCAAATCTGCACAAGAATTAATATATTGCTCATATTCAGCCCATGAGAGTTAATAACCACGGGTTAATAAAAAATAATGGAAATGAAATTCTAAAAACATTTTTACTTGACGTAGTTAAGATAGTTTGGCAATTATACCAACCGACTTCAGCTTCTAATGAGGCAGGGTGCAAACCCAAAACAAAACTCTGGACACCATCACAACCTCCACATATAATTGTCCCAATACAAAGAAACAAAGATATTAGGAAAGAAAGTTTAGGTGGAAGTTTGCAAAGGGTTGGATTTGGATATGTTATTGGAAAGAGAAGACCGTATAATTTTTTAAAGTAGGGCTGGGTAACAGTGACCTAGAGGGTAGCCTTGTTCAGTATTTTTCAAGCAAGTGGATTCCAGTCTGCAAGTATCTTAATACTGACTCAAACTTGGGTTTGGTTTATTTCGTTTCACCACGTAAATTTGATTAAAATTTAAAGTTGAACACATGGAAACCTTCTGTCTATGCTGAAATTATTTGTATTGTTTCATTTACTTAAATATTCAAGTTAATTTATGTCCAATATAACTCAGACTAAAGACAAACAGCTTCTAAAAGCAGTCATGTTAGCTTATCTATCTAGTTTAGCATAAACTATTTAAGAGAAAATTGTTCAGATATGTACCTAACCAATTCGAGGTTCCCAAACAGACTCTCTAGGGTTGATTATACCAAAGAAAGAATAGTTCAAATCAGGATGACCAATTCACATAACGGAAGCCATAGTTTTTTTTTGTTTTTTTTTTGGATACGTAATCAAATAATTTTGTTACTTAAAAGAGAATACATAGGGGGTGTACAATCATTTTGAGCCAGTAAGGAACAACATGAAATTAGACAACCCGTCTACAGGATTTTTAGCCACGGCATTGAACCAAGAATACAAAGTAAAGTAAAATGTCTCTTATCTGCTCTCTTATTTTTGTTTGGTCTTCGAAGCAACGGTTGTTCCTTTCTCTCCACACGCACCATACAATGTAACCCGGGATAAGGTCCCATGCTAGTTTGTTATCCTTATCACGATATTTTCTCCTCCATGCCCGTAACACGTTCTTTATACGACGAGACAGCACCCAATCCATGGATTGAGAAGCTAGTATACTGTTCCAAAGCCAACGAACATCATCACAATGAATGACCAAATGATCGATTGTCTTTCCATTCTTCTTACACATATAACACCACTCGGTTACATAAAAACCATTCTGTCGAAGATTATCCACCGTTGAGACCTGTCCTCTCACACCTATCTACAATAAGAATGCCACCCGAGGAGATAATTTACATTGCCACACCAACTTCCAGGGGAATGAACTATCTACAAATCCCAGGAGGAAACTAAAGTACGAGCGAACTGAGAAAATAACATCCCGTGCTATCCTCCACCTACTACAATCACCCTCTCCTACCCGAATTTGTGCCTCATGTAGAGAGGTCATAATCAACGAATAATCACCCAATTCCCAATTCTGTAGACCCCTCCCAAAAGTAATATTCCAGCAATAGCTCCTATTATGAATGACTAATACATCACTCGCCATAATAGAAGGCACTGAAGCAATGCAGTGCAAGAAAAGAAATCCCTCCTTCAGCAGTTGATCTCCACACCAACAATCATCCCAAAACCTAATATCATTACCCTTTCCCACCACAAAATTCAGTTTATCCAAAAAATCACTCCATCCCCGTTAGATATACCTCCACAAACTCACCCCCATAAGAACCATGACCCTCAACTGTACATCATCCCCCCTCTATCACATCATACTTCGCCCTAATGATTTCTCTCTAGAAGCTCTCTCTCTCTCTCTCTCTCCCCCCTCCAAATTGCCACAATCACTTGCCTAATAAGATCTTATTAAACAACACAAGGCTCCTCACTCCAAGACCCCCCACCCTCATAGACAGACAAACAATACTCCAATTGGCCAAATGGAGTCTCTCCTCCTCTCCCAACCCTACCCACAGAAATTCTCTTTGAAATCTCTCTAATCTCTTTGCCACTGCAATCAGAATGGGGAACAACGACAAAAAGTAAGTAGGGAGATTAGAGAGTGGATTTAATGAAAGTAAGTCTGCCTCCCTTAAAGAGAGACATACGCTTCCACCCCCGCTAACCTCCTCTCCATCCTTTCCACAATACCATTCCAGATATGGGTACTTTTAAATCATGTCCCTAACGAGAGCCCTAAATATGACATAAGCAGCTACGCAACCTTACAACCTAATATATCAGCCAGCTCCTCCACGTTATCGACCTCCCCTACTGGAATAGTATCAGATTTCCCCAAAATTAATCTTCAAACCATACACCACTTCAAAGTATAGGAGTAGACGGCGCAAGTTCCTGAATTTTTCAACATCTGCATAGCATAAGATCAGCGTGTCATCTGCAAATAACAAATGGGACACGTGTCATCTGCAAATAACAAATGGGACACCTGCAAGTGATCAACCATAAAACCCCTTATCAAACCCGCTCCCACAGCTCTTTCAAGCATCCTACTAAAAGCATCCATCACAATGACAAATAACAATAGAGACAATGGATCCCCTTGCCTCAAGCCTCTACGACCTCAAAAATAACCCTCAAGTATTCCATTGACCAAAACTGAGAACGAAATAGTAGAAATACAGAATTGAATCCATTTACACCACTTATTCCCAAAGCCATAGCCAAACGTTCTTCTATGCCAATCTATTCTCACAAGTCCTTTTTTACAATCTAATCTTAATTCCAAGACTATACAACCTATACCCCATATTTCATGGAAAAGCTATTGTGAAGAGAGAAGATGGTGGCAAGATGGAAAGAAGACAAGTGGCATATTTACCTGAATAAAGACATAAATAATATAATACTGGCAACGAATCTATTTGTGCACTGAGACATGTTTAACCTTGTTTTTCCAAAAAAAAGGGAAAAAGAAAGAGAGAGAACAGGACTAGTTCTATTTATTTCTGAACGAGAGAAGATGGTGGCAAGATGGAGAGAAAGAAAATGGTATTTCTTACTTGAATAAAGAAAAAAGTAAAATAATATTGGCCATAAATCTATCTATGCAGCGAGGAACATTTTACGGAACAAAAAGAGAACAGGACTAGTTCTACTTATTTCTGAACAAGAAAACATACAAAACTAGTACACCAAATTTTTCAATCAATTATTGCCCAAGTACACATGCATAAAAAACCAGCCATGAATAATATCAGTCAACCAAAACACGGAATGTCAGCTATGGAATTAAAAAAAGTATGGCTACAAAACAGGCATGTGTGCTTTTAGCTCTAACAAAGAAACACGAAAAAATAGCAATAAATGAGACTGATTTAACCTCGAAAGGAAGATGATAGGAACAATAATGGAATGATATCCATTCAAAGTATCAGCAGCCATGGATGCATAGCTTTTCAACAGGATTGCGCAAGAAATCTGATCATTTCTATCGCCAGAATGCAGGGTTGCTGTATCTTCAATCAATTTTTGGGCTTGTGATGGAGACGCATACTTCAAAATTATTGCACATGCACTCGCAAAAGCACGCTTTGATGCAGCACTTTTTTCCTCCTTAACAACTGGAAGTAAAAGCTTCAGTAGCACATTTGTGAATGATTTGATGCTAACACCAACTTTCTGAACTAACAAACTTATAAAATTTGCTACACCAACCCTGTGACAATGATAGTAAGATAAAAGCATCAATACTCATTTTTACATTCGGCGTACTCTTTAAGTCATAGAAATTAAATGGTGATATAAGATTTAAACAAAATAAATTAAATATCTACACCTTCATCTATTTCTGAACTACAATAATTCATTATTGATATAAAAAGGAACTAAAAGGGACCCAAGTACACACAAACATAACACTAAAACTTTTTCTTGCTCGAAAATTTAGTTTCAAATATTTCTAAACAATAAGTATCAAGTGACTACATTTCACCAGTAAAATATTGAACGGACAAATTTTCTGTTCTTTTATTAAGGCAAAACAGAATAACCAGGACACTAGATGAGACTTGAGAGAAATTAATAATAATTTAGACAAAATGAATAAAAAAGAGCTCCATATCCAGCATCTAATATTCATTTCCAAAACTTTGTTAAGCTGCGGGACATTCAGATCTTCAGTAACACCATACAAGGCATGCACTGCAGAGTGACAAGTTTGAGGAAAGAAGACAGAAGAGAACGGGCTGCAAAATGGAAGTATACATGAAATTCCTTACATATAATCGTTAGGAAACAATCATGAGAAGAGTGTATCATGCTCTTCCTCCTCGGACTGTTCTAGTTTTGTCAAAATTAAAGGAACTTGAAAGAGAGGGAAAAACAAGGGATTAATAAATAATACATATGGAACATTACACAAATAAATTTGTTCTAGTTTGTCAAAATTAAAGGAACATGAAAAAGAAGGAAAAACAACAAGGGGTTAATAAATAATGCATATGGAACATTACACAAATAAATTTGTTCTAGTTTGTCAAAATTAAAGGAACGTGAAAAAGAAGGAAAAACAACAAGGGATTAATAAATAATACATATGGAACATTACACAAATAAATTTGTTTTAAACTGACTAAACATCTAAAACTAAGAACCCACATCATCCAGTATAAACATTAAACACAGGTTAGCATACCAGGTTCTGGTTCATTATATTACAGAAGTTAGACAGCCACAAAGTTCATATAGACTAGTATCAAGCATTTGAATAGAGCCAGAGGACAATGACAGTCAACAACTGATTTCCACATCATTATCATTATATACATGACTGAACCACAAAAGTTCCACAAAAATTACCAATTTGGAAGATTATTATGGATTGAGAACCATAGATGTACCAGAGAGACAAGGGTCAATGATGAACTCTAAGATCACAGAGATAGCCATCATCCTCATTTCACTTAAGACAACAATTTTCTAAATGCTAAAACTTTCAAAAAACCACCATCAGGATGCTACAACAGAATATTCAATTTCTCATTCCCAGTGCATACTAATCTTTACCTGTGTTGTTGCAAGCGAAAATTGCAGAAGCAAACAGAGAATATATCTTTTCATGCATATGCATTCTAATTCTTTAGTTTTATTGCAGCAGAAAATAAATGAACAGAAATCGTATACCAATCGTTGATATGATGAAACATTCCCAGAAGAGTAAAAGATGTGTGCCATCTTGAATATGTCCAAATAACTTGGTAAATACGATATTAAACATAATTCAGTACATACCTGGTGTTTAAGCCAACACCAGAACGAACCAACTGAGCAAGACGAGGAACCAATAATTCTAGCGCAGGAGAATCAACAACCTCTATGCAAAACTCAAGAGTTTCCCACATTGGAGATCCTTTGGCGATAGAGATTCTCAAGTTTTCTAGTTTTTCTGTTTGTATCCCAGCGTTTGCTGCGTGCAACTAATATAAAATGGAAGCAAAACATTGACCAAATGGTAAGAAGAGTAAACAAAATTGTGGCAGTAGCTACCGACTCACGGAGAGATCATGACTGTTATGCAATCAAAAACATGATCCACTACAACTAGAACCACAAAAAAATTTAGAAAATAATATTTATATATGAAATATGATGAACGCCCATAATATGCCCCATACCTCAACATAATTCATCCCTTGGTCTTCAAGGCTTGACAAACTTTCCAGCATACAACAAACAAGGTCTGGCAGATGTGGACGGACTGCAATGCCTGAACCCTGTACATATGACAAGAGACAATTTAAAAAATCCACTTTACCATCAAATTGAGGAATATAACTACACGATAGTCGACATAAACCCAAAGTTTGTAGTAAGAGGAAAAAATCCTATCTGATTGAAAAATAAAATAACCTAGCTGGCGGAGGGCATATTATATTGTGCAAATGTCATGAATATCTACATATATATAAAGAAAAAGCTAAACTCAAAAACCAAATAGATATTATTGGCACAATCATAGGAGAGCCACTGACTTTTAACTTAAAAAATTGAATATTCATTTTAAGCACTGGCCATATTTACCTTTGCTAGCTTTGTAACCATTCCAATGGATGCCTTACGGATATTTTGAACTTTACTCATTATACCTTCTGTTAGCAATAAAGGCAAAATCATATCCATTGTTTTTCTTGCCTCTGGCACTGGCGTAAGAGATACATCACATAACCTCCCAGTTAATGAAGAAACAGCACGGTATAATCTGTCACCAGCATTTCTAACAGTTTCCTTTATGTCATCCATGGCCCGGAAAGCAGCTGTCCAAATTCTCCTCAAATGCTTCTCAACCTATGATGCAAGTACATAAAATTCCATAAGAGAGTCTATAGCACGGGTGTTGCACCACAGAGACACTGTAAATAACTGAAACTAATATAAAATATAAACTTAAAAAAAAAAATACAAAAACAAAAACAAAAACAAAAACCAACAAACAATTTGAGTACAAGGTATCAGAAAAAAGAATTGAGTGCAAACAAAATGACAAAGGAATTAGTGCACACCAAAAACTTCAATGATGCTTATTACTCCATGTAACCATGATATACTTTGACAAATAAACTAGATTGTCATTCATTGATTGACACCTGTAGGATTTCTACACTGAGGCTTCGCATTTGCCATATTAGATTTTTATGATGATATCTTTGCGTGACAGTCAGTATCCAAATTTACCAATATTTTAGTATCATGAACCATTATCATAAGTTGTGCTCTGCACTACTGCCGTTCTTTTTCCTTTTTACTTGGCAAACATTATAAGTCCATCGAAGTTTCAACAAGAAGCATCCCAAACAGATTATGTGCATGATTGGCAAAGATTATAATTGCTTATAAGCTGATCAAACTTTATTTTTATCCACACATTCTATAAGATCCACAACTTTTACCTACAAAACCCTATAATTTTAAGCATGCTCGTAGGCATTAAATTATGCATTCTATGAATTGTCATATCTAGTCAATGTACAAGTTAGTAATAGCTCACTTTTTCTTACAAGATAGTTAACTGGGCATTTATGAATATTTTGAACAGTCAAAGGAATCAAAATTATATCTATGGACGTTGGGGGACCAAAGTGAAAATGCATTGATCTGTATGTATGCAATTTAAAAAATAATATTGCCGGTTATTGACAATGGCCTTAAGATGGCTATATCATGAAAAAACAGTAAGGATATATCCAGTTAGTAACCTGATCAAATTTTCGTCCTTGGATTATATCTGCAAGAGAAAGACAAGAAGCCTCCCGAGAGCGCCAAAGCCTGGAACCACATTTTATCAAGAGATCATCAAAAATAAGGTCCAAATATTCATCAATGGTGCTCTTTGTATCTGCTACCAACGATTTCCAAATGTGAGTCATCGCATCCTGATTCAGCAAAGGTAAATGTTATGCTGAAAATTTTCATATGATATATAAGCTCAACGCTCCAGTAAGACAGAAGAAAAAAAATTATGAGTAATAAGAAAGGAAAGGTTGGAAGCACTGCCATGATATCAGAAGCTGCAGATTTGTGCTGAACCGCATTATATAAAAGCTTACTGTTCTAAAGGAGACAAATCAATTTATTTTCAACTAGCCCTCTCATGTTACATCAAAGGCCTGGCGCACACAATTTTCTGGACATTGGATATACCAAATTGAACTTCATCATTTAACATCTTAAACTATTAGAGAGATGATAAATTCATTTCAATTTTGTTTTCAACTACAAGGTAAGAGAATTTTTCTGAAGTAAACTAGTAGTATATAAAACATGAAACAGACGATAGTCAGTAACAAGAAAGAGCCATGAGTATCACTCGACCTGGAGCTCTGAAAGATCCGTACCTGTACATTTTTATCAGGATCATACTGATAGTGAACAAGTCTTGGTATCAACGAACGAAGGTGGGGTTGTAAGGCATCCCCTGCAAGCTTGGCTATCTTAGAAAACCCAAAAGCAGCACCTCTTTTGGAATTAAGAGAAGCTTGATGATTAGCTAAATCCATGAACTTATAAATTAAATCTGGTTGTCCCATCTCATTAGCTAAGCTGCAGAGCTCCTTATAAGTGCTCAGTTTTCCTCCGCTGGGACTTTCACCCAATGAACCCTCTTGGAAAACTTCAGATTCCTCAACAAGCTGAAAAATTAATCAAACAAAGACACTTTCGAAATTGAAAAAGAGAACATTGTGAAGTTGCAAAACTACACAAAAGAACGAGGAACACTCCAGACCTTAACATCCCTCTTCCTCTTCCCTGATCCAGTTAGAGCTCCAACAAGTGCATTAACTAGGTTTTTCTTCATGGAATCATCACCAAGTTCATACACAATACTAATGCCCTGAGATGCTAGGTCTTGTGTAAGTTCATTCTGTTCACCAAGTAGATGCGAAAATGCTTCCTGCATGCATGTTAATGGTGTCATACGAGATTTTATGGCTAATGAAGGGAGTTTCTTCAATCACATTTTTGGTACAAAATCTCATTCAAGTGGTATCAAGTGCCTTCCAGATTAGCAATTCGGATTTCTGCTGGTCTAATCCTTGTCAGGCATTTCAAAAATCAACCTTTCTTAAAAATTGCAACCTACACTTACAACTTGCAGAACCACCCATAAATTATAAATCAAACCAAGCTACTGCTGTGACACCAATAAATACGATTATTCAGACAGCTGTTTCCCAGTAGCCGCATACATATCGCCGATAACTCAGAAAGAAAACATAGGAATATGAATTTCCATTTTACATATTTTAGTTTTAATGTGGACTCTCGTAATTTATTCATGTGTCATAAGTCTGCAAAAGTCCTTTTGTTTTCACGGTTATCGAGAAAGGAAAAGATATACAGAAATAAATGTCAGGATGTTGAAGTGAAGAATCAACATTAATTGCTATCTTTTAGTGAGTAGGTGCAAAATATTAGTTCACAATTTGCATAATAACATAACAATAATAATTAGATACATCTCAGAACTTTGCTTATCAAATGGGGATTGTACTAAGCAAAAACCTGGATATCTGGAAGCAATTGTTGGATAGTTGAGTGATGGCCACAATATACTGTTAGTGATAGTAGCCAGACAGTTCCAGCACAACGCTCCTCTTTTCTGTTACTGTATAATAGGACATCAAATAGCTTTCTGGTAATAGAATCCCTGACTGTAATGTGGTGATTTTCATTGCTATCAAAATCCATTAAGCAGTGACTTGATGAAGATGGGGACACTTCTCCCATAAGGAAGTTAGAACTCATAGAAAGTGAAGTATAGTTAGTTTTGAGAATCATATTGGTAGTCACAGGAACACCACCCCACAAAAACGAAAGGGCCTCGCCAGCAGCAAACAGGATATCTTCAACCTGTTCAAATATAGACTTAGGAAAAAGTATATAATGAAGTTTAAACTTGTATTTCTCTTCAATGCAACATAAAACTAAGGAAACAACCTGCTTCTTCAAAACCTCATTTGTTAAGGGAAAACAAGAAAAATGAAGAAGACAACGCTGTCCACGATTAGAGAAAAAGCGTTTCACTTACCTTTGACCGGCAAAGAGAGAAAATTAGATCAAGAGCAATATTTAGATGCGACAATGACGGTTCTTTCACACACATATGCCCCAAAGCAATAAGAGTTACTTGGACAGCTTTTATATCATCACTAAGGAGCAGCTTGCTTAATTTTTCTTGCAAGAGAGTCCAAATCGAAACTGCAGTTTGAAAATGACTAAAAATCATCATTCCCGAATCAACTTGCATTGCCACTGAAACTAATGAAACTTGCATCATCTCACATGTTTTCAACAGTTATATAATGGTTTCACCTGAAGTAGATCCATCAAGAAGTGGAGGCAGTGGAATGCATAGTCCAATATGACCCAGGGCTTCAATTGCCACAGAAGCTAATGTAGCAGTCTCTAAAGTAACCACGTCAACCAAACATTTTAAAATATATTGAAGCTGGGACTCTGAGATCTGTTAAAATTGTAGGATATAAAACAATGTGAATCATGGAGAAAAATTTTAAGTTCAAGCACAAAATCTTCTGGTTTTGTACATTAGTGGGTAAGCATGAATTTAATACAAAAGCACAACATGCAATTATGTGCGAAATCATCCTCATTATCACAAAATTCATTGAGTACAAAACACCTATTGAAGAATTAACGCACTCAAATATAAGCAAAATTGATTCAGAGAGACATCCAGATCAGTTGCCTCTGACTAAATTAAAAATACAGTGCTTAAACTTTGATTGTACCTGTTGCACGCACTTAGAGAACTACCTATATACACATTCATATATACAATACATAGCCCTTGTTTGGGCTCCATTTTAATGAAAATTTGGGGGAAAATAAGTTTTGAAATAGTGATTTTTTTGGAGAATGATAAAAAAATAAAGAAAAGTTTTCGATTTACGTGTGATATTATTTTATGGAAAAATGTGTAGTTGAAAACGAGTTCTGAAAAAATGGGGGCCAAACATAGGCATAGTACTCATTTAATATTAATGCATCAAAAAAAAAAAATTTCAATTTTCTCATTTAGAAAACAAAAATACTTACAGTAGGTGTTTTCGACACACAATTTGCAGTAATGTATCCTAAAGCACAAAGTAGTCCATGCTGCATTTCAAACCTAAAGATTGCCAAAGATCAGTGTCATGGTGATAGATGATAACAGAACAGTACAAAACTCCTATTACACTACTAAATTTTTAAGTCTAAAGATCAAACCTCAATTTTTGTGTTCCAGAGATTGAAGAAACTAACTCATCAGTAAGTTGAGATAAAGCAGGGATGGGAAGCATAGCGGAAGCTATTCCAAGTAAACGCGCTACTGATTCACGAGTACTGAAATCTAGGTGACCCAAAAATTGTCTAAGCCACAAAACTTTTTCTGAATAGCGAGAAGCAATCATCTATCATCCAAGAGAAGAAACCAAAAATGAGGATTCCAGAAAATTGAGGGATGCAAACCACAAAGAAAGAAGGCAGAAATTCAAAAATCTCTCATCTTTCATCAAAATCCATGAAATCTACCTGAGGAAAATGGGATCCAACTGTAATTAGTGCCTTGGAAGATGAAGCATGCAACTCAACAGAACCTTCATATGCCATAGCATGTTCCAAAAGTAAACACAGTCTTTCAACCCATTGTAGAAACTCAGAATCTTCATCCAAGTTGGTTTGTCGAACATCTGCTTCAAAGCATTTCAACAAAAATTTGATCATAGCCTCATAAGTCTTAGATGGGAAAAGAAGCTTTACATCTCCCATTGGACTAAAATCAGAGACAGCTGGCTGCTGTTCAAGAATATAACCAAGCATGTCTGCAAGTTTTGGATACTTGATAGGGATGCTTTTTGCCAAAGTTTTTTTCTGATCTTCACCGGGAAACAAACCTTCTAATGCCATTTCCCTGCACACCCAAAGAGTTAAGATTATTCTCAAGAGAACACTATAAAACAAAAAAAGTGTAACTCCGGAATAACAACCAGCATGAAAAGTCCTGCAGACACAACAGGCAGGAACCGTAAAATACACTCAAGTGTCGAGATATTTCTTTTCGTTCACAATTCTGACATGTTCTCCCTTTCTTGCTTCCTTTGGCCCGTGAGGGATAATAGTATAGGAGTAAAATTTATGTACGTCACATCAGGTTACCAAAACTAAATAGAAAAATCATTTTTCAATGACACTTTGAGACACCCCTCTCTTGTTGTACAATAAAAACACAAGGATTACCATGTTATGATTCTGAGGTTCTCCCACCTTAAACCAAAACTTAAATTGTATTAAAAGAAATTCCTTGAATTTCTTAGTCAGTAAAAGATAAACTAGGAAAAAGCACATTGATGAAATAAAATTCAGCAAGCCATTCCTTTTGCTTTATCAAAATCTAAATAAAAGAAAAAATTGTGATGTTGTAACTTGTAATTTTGAAAAAAAAGCAAAGTAACCCAAGAACGGCAAATAACAATCTGTTGCAACTAGAAAATGTTTTCTAGCTGCGAAATGCTCGTGACTCAAAAAAAAAAGTTCAGATAATGAAAATGAATTCTGCCTATGTTGAAATTACTAAGTATTTCGGGTGCCTCCAGACTTGTCCAACCTGTAGCAACGCCGATGCCAGGGAGTAAGTGTAACGATTGGTCTCTATGCCCAAGTCGTTAAATTACGTATTGTCGACTATGGGAGAGTCTAAGCCCATCTGACCCCTCATGACTTTATGTCGCGTTCTCTAGAATTCGAACCTAAGACCTCTACCTTATAAGAGAATTCAACTTAAATCACTCTTAAGGAAAGAGTTATGGATTCAAATCTTGAGTTTATGATAGAAAGTCGGGAGGGGTAAGAAGGGATATGCTTTTCCAAAGTAAACAATACGTAAATTAACGGCTTAGGAACAAAGCTTAGGTCGTCACAAAAAAAACACACAATATTTTTTATGATCAGGCCTCTTTGTCCAAGCCATTATATCATACGTACTGGGACATGATAGAAATTCATGAGAAATAAAATGAATTCAAGCTCTTCCAGAACGAAAAATAAGTATGATTTAATAACGGCTTGAACAAAAAGGTCGGATCAAGAACTTGACAATATAAGAGCAGATGAATATCTAGAATTGTTTGGACATCAGAACCATATATATTTTACATGGTTTATCATACACGCAGAGAACAAATATCACCATTCTGATTCTTAATGCAATTTAAAAGAAAATAGAAGTATTACGTGTAAAACATTTGGCAAAAAGTGCTGAAAAACAAAGGATGCGATTATTCCTAATGTGAAGCACAATCAATTTCCAGAGTCATCAACTTATGTTGTATCAGAATACATATATACTTGTCATTTTCAATATAATTAGTGGTTAAACAACGACCTAACCCTAAATCTTAGGAAGGAAATCCACAAATTTCAATCCAATCAGACACAGATTAATTGCTAATCCTTGAAGATAATAACTACCTGATGTCCAATTTCAAATCTGCAGCTCCAAGCATGCAAATAAATCGGCTAGGACAATGATGCAAGTCAAACAAGGATGTCGCCCATCTCAAAGCACAAAAACGAACTTCACTTTGTTCCTTGCATCGGAAAGGGTGAAAGATATTAGTATGTTCAGGAAATGTTCATACACTAAGCCCTTATTTGAGCCCCGTTTTTTCAAAACTCAATTTCAACCACACACTCTTCAATAAAATAATTTTACGCGTAAATCGAAAACTTTCTCTTACTTTTTAACCACATATTCTCCAAAAAAAAAAAAAATACTATTCAAAAATACATCTTTTCAACCTAATGGGGCTCAAACAAGGGCTAAAAGAGTCAATTGAGAACATCATATTTGATTATTAAGAGAAATGAACCCAAAGAAGAAAGCAGAAAAGCACTAGAGCACATGTTAACAAGCGCATAAGTGTATACCATTTGAGAATTGTTCAACAGAAGCAATTCCAAATCCTTTAGCACCTTTGAGGGTGGATCCTGAGACTCAAAGCAAGTGACCATCAGAACAGAAGTCAAAACACAGAATTGCTATTAATTTAACACTTGATATACACAATACCATGTATGCAACAGCAAGAGAATTTGTTGCTTCTTGAACAATCAGGCGGAGATACTGTGCCTCGAACTTCAGAGCATCAAAAAGCCGAACAGCCACATCAACTTTTTCTCTAAAGGGAGCACGACCACGAACATCATAAAAAGTGATAAAAATAGACAATGGGACAGCAGACTACTACCGATAAGCCATCAAAATGTTACCTAAAAAGTTGAGGCATACGCTGTGCAAGCAATCCAATTGCTTGAAAACAGAAAGTTTTAGTCTCCCTAGCAATAGCATCTGGACAAATAAATGTAGACTGGGATGAACGTGACAGATAGGTAAACATGTCATTCTAATCTTCCATGTAAGACAGTGTTAAGCTAGCGAGTTGCATGATAAACACACCTGACTCTGGCGATGAGTAATTATCTAAAGTTTTCAGAATTCCAGTCAGTATAAGAGGGCCCATGAGCTTCAACTGGTCCATTCTAGCCTGCAAATGTATCATAAAACGAACACTGAGAGAAAAGCATTAAGCTAACCATCCACTACACTTCATTGACAGGAGAAAACAAGTGTACTCGTGTGTACAACTAATACAAATATCACAAGGAAGACAGTTGCATTTATGAGAATTCAAGGAAATATGTTAGCTATGGAAAAACAGAAACATATAACTGTTCCATTGACCACAATTATGGAGTGTAGGTAAGTACACGCATTAAATGTAATATATTCTTTTAATAATCACCAAAGACAGTTATATAACCATCTTTTGTAGTGAAGCTCATAGTGCACAACATAAATATTACATTTTATGCACAAATTTATTCGCTATAATAAAGAAATAAAATGAAACATAGTTTTTTTGGGGGGAAAAAAATAAAAATAAAGCTTCAAGTCTGTTTGATCTAGACTTTTTTAATATATTTTATGAAAAGAGAGTCTTTTTTTTTTTCTTTTTTTTTTTTTTTTTTGAATTAATTTTTTTAAGAGGAAAAATTTTTAAATCCTAAGGATGATATAACTATCATTCGGTAATCTTATGTAACTATCGTTTGGTATTTCGTTTTTATCGATATTTAGGTATCATGAGAATTCGTATGTAACTATCAATTAAAGTAACTTTTAAGCCCTGCTGGCCCCTATTTTTTCAAATTAATATTGGGTTTTTTTTTTTTTTTTTTTTTTTTTTTTTTGAGAATGAATGTTTTAAGTAGGAAAATGTTATAAATCCACGTGTAAAATTACTTTATTGAGAGAATGTATGGTTGAAAATGAATTTGGGGAAAAATAAGTTTTAAATAACATGCACCAAACAAGGGCTTCATCCTTTATTCACCATGGATATATTTTTTTAGCAGTACAAATCAGATTTTTAATCACAAATTACAAACTTATACAATTACTTTAATAAAAAGAATTAATCCTTTATTCACCATAAATATTTTTTTTTTAGCATTACAAATCATATTGTTAATCACAATTTACAAACTTATACAATTACTTTAATAAAAAAGAATTAGATCAGGTGCCTATTTGGATTTCGAATTTTTTGTGAACAAAAACCTACATAATGGATAAAATTTGGTGAGAAATCAAATCTAAGCTAGATTTGTACATTAGAAGAAGAGGGCGAGTGCGAGTTTATTACTTGTTATTAGTTAGTAATTAGACGAGACTTCAGGAAAGAAATTCTTTATAAGAAAAGGCTATGTTTTTACTTTAAAACTCAAAAGTTATCCAGATAAGCAAAAAATCTTCAAAAATTATATTGATTCTACAATCTTGATCGTTCCTGAATTAGTGATAATCCGTTGATAGTTAATAGATCTCTATTCCAATGTTGATATATCGAGGCTTTTGAGAACCATAAGATGATGATTGGGAGTCCCGAGTGAAAGCGTGCGAGTAGCATGGATATCTTAAACCCAATGTTAAAGAGAAGTTGTTTACAAGATAGCTGAACAATGAAAAAAAGGGATTAGAATCTAAACCAAATAGGTGCCTTAAGCATGTAAACCAGAGAATTTTATTTTATAGCAACAACATCATTAAAAAATAAAAAGGATAGAGATATGATTTTAACGTATTATTTAAAGGAAGGTATAGCATGGATCTTGAAAACGTGTCAAACTCCGCTGGTAATCTTAAAAGTGATAGAGATTGAAGACGATAAATATGAAAAATACAAAAGGTTGTTAATATCCATACATATGCATTCTAACATATATGTGTGAATTTATCCATAATAGTTATCTTAATTATAAAAATGTGTTTATTAGTTATTTTTGTGAGGGGATATGCTAGATTTCCAGCCCATAAATTATAGTCTATAATTACCTAGTAACACATTAGCTTTTTCTTTTTCTTTTTTTTTTTTGAAAGTAACCAAATATTTTATTAACCAATGGGTAATACATGGGAAGTGTATTATCAATTCAAATCTGAAATAAACAACTTGAAATTGAGCAACCCATCTATATGTTTAGAAGTTGCAGCATTAAACCAACTATACAATATCAAATAAAACAATTCTCTAATATGCTCTGTTGTTCGTGTTTGATTATCAAAGCAATGGTTGTTTCCCTCTCTCCACACACACCATACGATGCAACACGGAATAAGGTTCCATATAAGCTTGCTATCCTTATTGCGAAACTTTCTCCTCCATGCCTTTAACACGTCTTCCATACGTAGCAAAAACACCCATTTCATGTGTTGAGATGCCGAAACATCGTCCCACAATAAACGAGCAACATCACAATGAAAGAACAAGTAATCAATTGTCTATGCATCCCTTTTACACGTATAGCACCACTTTGTAATATAAAAACCTCTTGTTAGGAGATTATCCACCGTTAACAATTGTCGTCTGACAACCGTTCATGGTAAAAATGCCACATTTGGAGGCAAATTACATTTCCATGCCATCTTCAAAGGAAATGAACTCTCCACATGCCCCAATAAGAATCTAAAATAAGTCCTGACTAAGAAGATACCAGCACGTGTCAACCTCCACCTACTACAATCTCCCTTTCCGACCCTAATGTGCACCTCATATAAAGATGCCAGAAGTGATGCATAATCATCTACTTTCTAGTCCTGCAAACCCCGCCCAAAAATAAAGTTCCAACTGAAACTTCCGTTGTGTATATCTAAGACCTCACTAACCGTAGTAGACAACACCAAAGCGATACAATGCAAAGAGGGAAACCTCACCTTAAGCGGTTCCTCTCCACACCAACAATCATCCTAAGATCTAATAGTATTACCATTTCCAACTACAAAAGTCAATCTATACCGAAAATCGCTCCACCCTCGTCGAATGTACCTCCACAAACTCCACCCATAAGAACCACGAACCTCAACTAAGCACCATCCTCCCTCCATAAAACCATATTTTGCCCCTATAATTTCTCTCTAAAAACTCTTCCTCTCTACTCCAAATCGCCACAACCACTTCCCCAACAAGGCTTTATTAAACAATATAAGGCTCCTCAATCCGAAACCCCCTATCCTTATGGGAGAACAAACTGCACTTCAGTTAACCAAATGGAACTTCCTCTCCTCCCCTGTGCCCCTAGAGACACCTTAGCTAGTTTCAGAAACAAATACATATATCCAATTCTAGAATTGAATGGGCTGGCCAGGCAGATGACAAACTATTCAAGTTACCACTAACACAGATTACTTGAGACGGACCAATATCATGAATAAAACATTATAAGAACCTAAAACGAGAGTTTTAATAAACGGTTTGAATGTTATTACTGCAATTGTTTTCAGTTTTAGACCATAATCCTACATTCTTGATGATATGTTAGGAGGCA